CTTCTGAAACACAGCTTCATATAAAAACCCACTAAAAGTATAAAGTGAATACATTAGTAAAAACACTGGTGGCTTGATAAGGTATATAAATGATTGCTAGATGGTATTTTTCACTGGGAAAAATTAAAAAACAGGAAAACTGTACCCTGGTTTCTTTTGATCTCAAGAGTCTTTTAGTCCTGTGTGGTGACAAATGCAACCTTCAAACAAGCAAATCAGTATTATGCAGCAGTTCTATAATCATTGCAGTATTAACCCATAAGAAAGAGAACCACCAAAAATTCAGCATGTTTCTGTTAGTAGCCCTTAGCAGATCACCAGGAAAGGGTATGAGAGCATAACAGGCCCACAGCGATATGTATCAGGAACGTCTGTCATGATTTGAACCATTTTTGGGTTAGACTGCCCTTGTGATAAAGGTCCTATCAGTACTTGATACTGGCAGACATTTAATTTGTGAATGTACATAATTACTTTTTAAGCTTGTCTAAACTTTGATATTCACAATATGCTGCAGCAGTTAGTTCTCCGTTTAATGACATCCCATAGGAAAATTGCAACCTAACAATATGTACATAAACTGTTGTTTTGCTTTTATCAGCTTTTGTTATCTGCCACTTAATCTTGTTTAAAATGTTATTCTTCTACAATTCTGAGAACTCACTTTCAGATTCATAGTTAAGAACTACCAGCAAACTTTCCCATCTTACTAAGCACCCTTTCTGCTTTCATTAGTATGTTGAACAACATGGATCTTAGCACAGATCCCTCCTTATACTGTGAAAGCTGAACATCATTCATGTTTCTTTGTTTCCTGTTAAAGCAATTACTGGTCTATAATAGGTTTATTGCTGACGGTGATTGAGAGACGGGACTCCGGATGGATGTAAGCAAGAAGTCGAGAGTTCGGAGTTGAAATCAAAGCCAAAGTCAAAGTCATGGTCAAAGTCATTACCGAAGTCATCTACTGTCAACAATCCTTCTACAATTACACATTCTCTAACAAAACTTGTCAACATTTGATTGGTCATAACCCTCTGTCCATAATACACCAGACAACTCATTGGCTACATGTTAGTTACTACTATCCTAAGCCTATTGGTTAATTAAATCTTACAAGCAGAAACACAATGTTCTATACACTTTTAGCTCAAGGTAGAAAACTTTCCACTGTTTAAGAAGTGACCAGATGTTTTCCTTCAACTGTCTCCTTGCATGTTTTCTTCAGACAAAGCTCAGCATCCTTATCTTGTTTTTCTACATTCCTGTTTGCTGCTCCCAAGGCTTCTGGCCGACCAGGGTCAGGATGTCCTCATCATTCACTAGCTGTACAGCACTCTCAGTTCTTCTTCCCAGCCGTCCTGCTACATATTGCCTTTTCCCCTAGTCTTCCCAGACATTGCTGGTATGAGACCTTGTAAAAAATGTTTTGAAAGTCCAAATACACCATTTCACTCTGTTCACAAGTTTATTGATTCCTTCAGATAGCTCCTACAGATTTGTGTGTTGACACTACTCCTATGTTGACTCTTCCTCATTGTATCTTTATAATCATGTCTGCTGATTTTATTCTTTGCTGACGTATCAACCAATTTACTCATGAAGACCCATCTATCACCTGAAAGATTTATTTTCAGATGTTTTTGAAACCTTGATTAATTATGAACAGGGCAGGCTATGATCCAGAGGACAAGTTTTCCTGTATCTGCCTCTTATGAGTGTCAGAGACAGGTGCACTGCCCAGATGTCTTACCTGGTTTATTGGTTCTTGCATTCCTGAGCTTGTCTGATATCAGCAAGAACTTTTCTAAAGGAAGGGTGCTTGAATTCACCACCAAAGGCAGCTTTTGCCATTCATCTCCCTAAAAATTTGTCAAACACCTTCCATTTCTTTGGCACATCTTTGCCCATGCCTGTTCTCTCAGGCTCTCCCTCTTGACAACCCATCACTTCTGCCCATTCACAACATCATAAGGTCCGCATTCACCTTCCTCTCTTTTCCTGCAGGTTACGCACTCTCGCTTGCCTTACCTATCTGCTGAGACAAGGGCCAGCAGAATGGCTCACCTGTAGCATGGTCTATTCATACTGGGATGGATCAACATTGTCTAAGTTATTTCATCAAGTAGTAAACCCTCACATCTTCACAGTAAAATTTTTCAGAGGTGATTGCTGCACTGCACCTACTAGAAAACTTTTCCTTCTCTATAAAGCTACAATTCTTCCCATTATCCCCCCATTTTCTAAGACATTTTCCTTTGTATACAGTAAGATACAGTGCCCTAAAGTAGTCCACAGATAACTTAACACCTATGCTCCTGCTGAATGAACAATGACCATGTTGTCCTTTACTAGGTCTAATGTACTGCATTATTAATACAAGCTAAAATAGCAGCTGATGTCATCCTTTCTAAAATGAGTCAGAAGAAAGCTTGCTCTCTCTTCTCTGCATGCACTTTCGTTACTTACTACCAATGACAAAAAAAAAAAGCCAAGCAATGTAAAACTCTTCCAAAGGTGTGGAAGCCTAAAGGGTTACAGGAAGGAACTCAGAATATTCCTAAGTTCATACATCTGCACTGTCACTAACTGAGGGTTAGCAGAAGTGAAAGCTACCTGAACTGCTTTCAACCACAGTATCTGTTTTCTCATGATGGCATGTGAGGGTGCTTTAGACACTTGCAGTTCCTTCTGTCGATCTTGACATAGATCAGGACACTAGCTTCCCCTAGTGATCTGACAAATGCTTTTATTTACTTCTCCAAAAGCAGGCTGTGTCAAATTGCATCATATTTTTTAAGTAATATCTACACATATGTGGGTGGAGAGAGACCAGTAAGAATTTCTACATATACTCTTCTGAATTGGTGTTTGTATCTCCTGGGATTTCTTTCTTCAAAGCATTCTCGTGATTCTTTCTTGTCATTTCTTTCCTTCATTGCTATCAGAAAATTTAACGGTCACAGAAATTTGCATGGACACTTACTGAGCAAGAACCACTGCACTTGAACCTAGAACCATCCCGAGCCCTGACTGTGCAATTACATGCAATGGCTGAGCTATGTGACAAACTGAGATTAGCTCATCAAGAGAACCACACTACCATAAAAAAAAAGTAATTCCAGTTTCAAAGAGTACCTGCACAACCTCCTTCATTCTAACAGTCTTAGTGGAAGCTGAGAATAACAGCATTGGACACAATTATCAGCTCTTTATCCACAAAAACAGAATTAAAGGAATTAAACAATTCTTAAACAATGTGGAACGGCTATTGCTATTTTATTTGCATTGTGGAAGTGATTTCTTTCCAATCCATTGTATGTTTGTGTTTGACCTGTGTCGTGGTTTGAGCCTGGTCAGCAGCTAAACGCCCCGCAGCCGCTCACCCACCCTCCCCCCACTTGGGAATGGGGAGGGAATTGGAGGGGCAAAGGGAGACTCGCGGGTTGAGATAAAAACAGTTTAGTAACAGTAACAGAACAATACGCTGACAGGAGTATCAGCGGGTAATGTACAATACAGCTGCTCACCCCCTGCCGACCGACACCCACCTGCTCTCAGCCGGCGATCCCCAACACAAAGGCCCCACAGCCACACTCCCAGAAGCGCCTTTCTATAGTGAGCACAACGTCACATGACACAGCATATCGGCCAATCCAGGCCCAGCCCTCCAGCTGTGCTCCCCCCGCCCCCGCACACAGGTGAGGGCACTGGGACCTGGGGAGCCCCTGGGGTCTCAGGGTGCTGCAGCACTCCTCCCGCTGCCAAACCAACGGGAACTCTAGCCCAGCCCCAACCAGGACAAGCTGTCATCTTTGTTTTTTTAAACAGTATTGTCCTATACATTTTACTTTGTGATTTTTGGAAGTATGCACACATTTAGAAGACTCTATGACCATCAATAGCAAAAGATATAAATCCTCTTATTCCTCTCTTTAGGAAGAACACCAGACCGCCTCTTTGCTACTACTCACTCTTTTCTATACACTGCTTTTTAAATTTCAGAGGCAGATTTTATTAAAAACACAATAGAAAAGTATTTTTTATTACAGATATGGCTTCACTTATTCTATTGCAGAAAGTTGTCCAAAAAGCATGATGGCAGCACATCCTGTATCTGCTTAGCATGTGACTATTGGTAACACCCAGCTTTAGTCTTCCATATTTTTGCCTAGAGTGATAGTGTTCTGAGCAAGAAATGTAGCTAATGGTACTTCAAAAGGTCTGCCTGACTATCTTCCTATCCTGTGCCAGGGAGAAACAGATGCCCACATTTAAAACAACTGCTGAAAGGGAGACTGAATGTGCATGTGCTGCTGTGCAGTTTAATTAGTCTCATTTGACCTCTACAGGCAAATAGGGCAATCAGCAAGGATGAGGTATGTTACTTAATACAGTAGAAACAGCATTAATATGTACTAAGAACATGTCATATTACATCTGTTTGTAATCATATTATATAGCAACATAATGAAATATCCTTGTCTCCTCTAAAATGATAATTGAGAGGAGAAACTAGTATATATTTAAATTTCCAAGCCCAGTGCAGATATTTGTCTTCATGGGAAGACTTAACACCATTTTAAGTATAATTTGATACCTTAATTAACTGTCTCAGAGGCTGATATTTACCTGCTTAACTCTAGACTCCATTTAGGCTATTATTTTGTACTGGAAGATAATCTTTACCACCACCAACACCCTACCCCCCCATTAACAGAGGAAACAGAAGAGATAGGTGCCTAACTTAGATGTCCAAATTAGAAGGGATGAATCTAGGCCAGAGGCAACATATGCATTTAGAAAGGAATTATTTGGACATGAATTCATCTTTGGAAATTTATATCTATAAGATTATATATCTGAATAAAGACAGTTTGGTACTTGAGCAAACGAGCAGTTTATGTCCAAAACAAGGTCTGTGGGTATGGACAAATAAGAAGACATGAGAGAGTCTGGTTTTGATTCTTTAAGACAACAGGCATAAGTTCACTCTCCGCTTTATGGATTCTCCATGGTTAAATTTATTGGCACTATTTGCAAGTACAATATTATCAATTCACACTACTTATAATTACTCTCCTTATTTCATATACATCAAACAGAGGCTATTACACTTTTGGTATACATCTTACTGCTCAAGCAAAACAATGAAACAGTTGAGTGAGCTCAGAGTATAAAATCAGAATGTAAAGTAAGTCATGTGTGACAAAAGCATTAGGCTTAGTAGTCCTTCACTAGAAAAATAGATTTTGCTGTCAAGTTTCCTCTGAAACTTTTAACAAATGTATTGCAGAAGAGAAAAATGAACTTAACTATGGTAAACAAATTCTTCCCTTCAAGGCACTGTTATGTAACTTCTAATGTCAATTTGAAAATAATTCAAGTCAGTTGATAGAAATGTTCACCTAATAATAAAAAAGAAAAATCTTTCTTTGGTTAAATCAAAGGCTGAATGGAAAAACAAATGAGATTAAGTTTCTGTATGGAGGAAAAACAATTGTATTAGCTAAGATGGAACAAACACTAGAAGTTTGAAGTCTTAAATTCAACTACAAAAATGAACTCTTATCAACAGTGAATTTAGACAAGTTGAGTTTTAATAACAAGCTGTAAAGTTTGGAACTTGTGTTTTTTTCCATGAAGAATCGTTTCATGTATTATATACGCATGTTCTGGCATAAGAAGAAAGCAAGACTGCAGAACTATTTAAAGCCAATGGAGAAAAATTTTCCAAGTATGTACCTTCCAACCCTGTTATGAAACATATCATTTGGCTTTGTGTTTTCACCTGTGCAAGTGCTTAGCAATGTCAGACTGTTTTCAGTCACTGTGCAGAACTTACTATACAAACGCTCCAAATGGTACAGATAATAAAATGTTTTCTCCGGAAGATTTACACTCCATCTTCCCTAGTCACAGCTCACTGCAAGTCATCTCAGCATCTACTGTCCCTCAGGACCCCTGTGGGATACCCACAGGTCCTTACCATATCCCTACAGCCATCCTCAACTGGTCTCTTCCTCAGTCCTTGCCCCTTCCTATTTCTGAGGAGCTCCCAGCTAGAACTGCGGTATGATGTGGCTAATTGTAGTGAGCTTGCAGATGCCGGGTAGCTCAACACTCAGAGGACCACTCAACTGAAAATCTCCCTCTACAATGAAGACACCAATGAGTTTCTTTGTAATTTTAGTTGCTCAGCAGTCAGCATTGGAAAGTTTTGAGGGTGAATTTAAAGGCAGAGTTTAAGCATCATCTTCTTTGGCTGAAAAACAGACACACAGATGCTGATTTCAGTATCAACATCAATACTGACACATTCTCTCTCTTCCTCAGGACTGGATGTGTCAAATGACTTATAGCAAATCACTTAATTATCTTGGCAATACTCATACAGTTCTATCTGAGCTCACACTTTGGAAACTCTCCTAGTAGTTGTCAATCTTCACTAGGAATCTGGTCTCAGTTGCTTGTGGCTACTTTGGCGCTACGGAAAGGAGGAATTTGCAGTGACCTCTTTGAAGCTCTAGGAAAGTCTTTCAGAATTCTTTTGTAGACTTTAATTTTCCTCTAAGAATTGGCCAAGGTTTTTGTTGGTATAGAAACCAGTAACCTTTTTCAAGAAAAAAAGGACTTGATCTTGGAAGACAAGATTTGGCAAATACAATGGTTAAACTCTGCCTACTCAGAGAAGTCAATTATTAGAGATTAGTATTTGTTATTAAAACTTGTTATGTGGCTAGTTAGACTTAGCTGTAACTGCTGCTTGAAGGAAATATCTTCAGAATTGTTTTGGTTCATTTGGTATCTCTTGGCTTGAATGAGGTTAAAACAAGTAATTGCCTAGAGTTTTGTTTTTTTAAGGTTACCAAGTTTTTGTTCTGTTGAAGGCTATGTTTGCATAATAAAATAGATATACAATGCAACTGCAGTAATAATGTTTTGAACATATACAACGTGTATTTCTCAAAAATATACATTTCTAGATATCCAGAGATTCCTATGTAATACCTGGACTATAAAAGTAGGGGTTATGCCTTTGAAGTTATGGTCATTAGTTATGCAAATAATTAAATAATTATCTTTTAATATTATTCCTCTTCAATAATTATCTTTTAATATTATTCCCCTCTGTAGGGTAACCCAAGAATGTTTGAATCTAGGCAGATGTACAAGGAATAAAACCACTTACCAAGCTGAAAAAAACCTGCTTTCCAACCTAAAAATAAACAAACCTCTTGCAGGCATGACAAGTAGTAGATGCTAGAGCCAGGTCAAGACAAAGCTGTGGTTAAAGCAGCCAATTTGGCCAAACTCTTAATACAGTTCTGACAGGAGGAATACATCATAGATCTAAACGCCATGTTTCATCCAGCTTTTCCAGTTCCTACCAGCCTTCAGTGCAGACCTTGTTTGCTAACACCAAAAAAAGTATCCGCTCATGTAACTTGCCTATGTTGGCCAAGGCTTTATATCACGATTTCAAGATCGGGTAGAAATGCTCAGTGAAGGTAAAAGTTGTTACCATTTCTGATTAAAAGGTGGGCTTTTTTTTTCTAGCTAGCACCCACCCTCCTTTTTGTTGCAGAAGATATTAATTATGCTTTATTTAGAATCTTAGATCTATAAATAAACTTGCTTTTTTCTTCTGAATTGACTAAAAAAATTTTCTAAAAAAATAAAGTTGTATGTTTCAAACAGTATACAGAAGTGTATCTTTCTAAACAGCAAACACTTAGTTGTTACAACAGAAATGGTGTTTATCAATGATAAATTCATATAAAAACCTGTAAATGGATTCTTGTTTTTATAGTGCATAGAAACTCCAAGGCAAGATACAATACACGTGGTATCTTAGCAAGGGAAATCTTTATCAGTCTTCAGCCCTTACAGTCAATCACTTAATGCTTACATTCTTCTCACTGTTTTTTTATTTGGACTTCAACTTGTTAAAGCTGCAACAAACTATAAAAAAAAACAAAAAAAGCATAGATCAGCCCAAATTTTGTCCCTGATCTCCAATAAAACAGCCAATGCCAAGCTTTCTAATATTTTCAAACCCACAGTTCTTTTCAAAGAACAGTAAAATAGAAAAATAAAGGAAGGGAATTAAATCTATCATCTTATTTTTTTGTATTCCTTTATGTTTTCAAAAAAAAAGCGACCAGTTTGAGGAAATTCTATTTAGATGTTTTTCTTTTGCTTCCCTAGGAAGTTTGAAAATGCTGCCTGTTTTTTTCCTTTTTTTCTGAGAGAATAAATTATTTTGAAGACTTTACTCTTCCCTTGCTTAAAATGGAAGTTTTTCTTATTTTTCTTTTGGATTAGCAAGTACAGGCAACTAATGCAATCAACTGTTTTTCTATTAGCTGCACAGTTTTCAAATGTTGAATGCATAATGTAACTAAATGGTATATTTAAAATTATGACAGCTAGCTCTTCTAAAGCAATGTTATAAGTCATAACAGTAGTGTCATCATTTCATGTATAACTAGTCATTCATGTTGCTTTATCCTATTACCCTGAAAATTACACCTGCTCAAGACCTTCTGTGCTCTGAGAAGAGTTTAAGGAGCAATACAGTATGCTGGAAGTAAAACTATCAATTAGACAGGAGGTATGGTAAGAACTGTATAGGTATATTTGTGCAATTTCTATTCTGTATAGACTATAATTGCAAAACTGGTTTTGCAGCCCTCAGATCCTGCAGTAATTTTTGTAAGTGTAAGGAATCACTTCAGTTATATTCTGATATGGTACTGTACCCCCTTTGCTTCTTTCATCTACTCTGAAATACTGCTGAAGTATCTGATCTCTACAGTATTTAAGTGTTTAGCCTATTTATACAGTATAGTAACACAGACATGGCAACACATCTTAAAAAAAACTCCTATCTTCAGTATTCAGAATGTACCTATATTTCTTTCCCATTTAAATGAAGCTAAGAAAATCAGAATGAAGATATTTTACTGTCTAGAACAAATTACCAAATTGTTAATGTTTCATTTAATCGTGATAAAGACTTCCCTTTGACCATTTCTTTGGTAAAAATGGCTGTGTCACATTTGCTTCATCCACTAGTAAAAGGCATTTTCTTTGGCAGAAATACTTTTGTGATCTTATAAGTCCAGCTTTATAACACTTAGATAACAGGCCCATTCTATATTACCTGTTCATTCAGTGAATGCAAGGTTATTTCCAATTTAGGACACAAAATTCAAACAGATTAGTCATAAAACAGAAAGTCTGATCACATAAAAACTGCCTTTTAGTAGTAAAATGACAAACAATGTTACAGACAGGAAAGGTCTAATTGCAATATATCACAATACATTATCATCTGTATAAAATAAGCAGTTTCACAGCTATTTCAAAAGCATCTTATTTCTCTTAAGTGTGAAGGAGTTTACTTAGAAGCACAGTGGATGTTTAAAATGCATAGCCGCATACATCTTCTGTAGCTTTGTGATTATTTCCACTTCTGATGCCTTAAATCTCCTGAATTAAGAAAAGAACAAACACATTTCTTTATAACATGAATTCTGTTATTTTGCTGCTTAACATTTCCCATTACTTGTTTGAAAATAAACTTCATTCCAGTTTATATTTTACAATTTTTTGAATGGTCTAATTTGCAAATCTGAATCCTGAGTGTCATGTGCCAAAAGGACTTGATGTGAATGGGACCTTAGATCCAATATGGAATACATCCTTGGGGACCTTAATCACAGCAGTCAGCAAGTGCAATAATGTACAAGAAAGGAGACAATGTACTCTTGGAAAGCATTAGTTCTTGATTGTTTTCTGATTTGTTATTCTCTTTATGTGAGCTTTACCTGACACTTCCCTTTCTGTTCTTTAAAACAAATCATATGGAAACATTCTTCCTCAGGCAGATGGCTTGTGATGACAAAAACCAGTGCCAGCAGTGACATGAATGCAAGGTCACTCACACCTCTCACCTTGAAATGTGAGATTGGGGGGCCAGATGCAGAGGGCAAATACCTAGAGTGTGTAAGATTGGTCCTCAACTGACAGACCATCCTCTGACAAGCATTTCCAGCTGACTTAAGTAGAAGCAGCCTGTAATTAAGACTGTAAAGAAGGCAGAGAACTGTGAAGTTATATAATAAACTTCCACAGGGCTACATGTCCAATGCTTCCTTATACCACTAACCGTTTCAGTCACCATCTATTAAACTCTGTCTTCTTTCCTAGATGCCTATAATCCCTTGTTTCGTATCATTGGTACTGTCACACTCCCCACTTGCTATTACACTTGCATCCTTCCTCCATAAACTCATGTGTTGGAGAATGGCTCAGAGACAAGGGTCCTGAGCCCACCGAGCAATTGTATGATCAGAGCCTGCTCTAGCTGCTGATGCTGGGCCTCACTAGGGTTTGCCTGCAGCTGCTCGCAGCTTCTGATACAGGAGGAATGTCAAGGACGCTTCAGCCCTGTGTACCGTGGTGTGTCGAAAACAGGTTAAGGGGGATTAGGAATAGTGGTCTGAGAAACCTAGTGTTATGATAACGGTGGTCTGAGAAACACTGTGTTACAGTACTGTTGTGTATCGAAAACAAGTCAACAGGAATCAGAAATAGTAGCATGAGAAACTTAGTGTTATGAGAAGCTTGTGCTGTAAGCTAACTGCAAGTAGGTGGACCGTGCGAATACGACCTTTAGAGCTTAAGCCAATCAGCTAGTGACTAGTAGGCATAATTAGTAGAAGGATTATAAAAGGCTGTAACGAAAATCAATAAACTGAAGCATGGTTTATCACTCATATTGAGTCGGCTGCGTTCTTCCTCCTTTAGCCTGGGTCCTCGGCATGTTGGGCTCGCTTTGCCTGACACTCATGTGACACCCAAAATACAGCCTGAAAGAGCAGGATTTTAGATACATCAGCAATTCTTATGCATCTCAGCACCTACCCTGGCATTCACAGAAATGTTTCATGATCAGGAGCCAAGCAATTAAGCATCTTAATCTGGGTCGTCTTTTAAGGACGGCATGGGTGAAGAACTATTAAGCCACAATGATGAGAGCACTGATTTAAAAGGTTTTGGACTCAATTTCTTGCTGGTCTTAAAACAGTATATAATCATTCATGATGTATCTAAACAATGGTTGTATTACTATGTCGTTCCCACATTGAAAAAAAACAGATTGGGATGGCAACAGTGGATTTCTTTGTCCTTGTATTAGACTGCTCAAGAGAAAAGTAAACTGTGGTCTGTTTCATCTCTTACCTTTTAAGGAACCAGATTAAATTTTCCTGTGCCTAGCACTACTGTCTTCCAGACCATTGCTTTCTTCTGATTTACTATAAGAAAGAATTAAATTCCAAAATTCAACTTTCAAGTGTAAGATTAGCACAGTCATTCCAGTCCCACAATGCAGTCACAGAGTACATAAAACATATTTGATCTTCTCTTTTAACATGTGAAGTTATAAGAAAAAAAAAAAAAGATTAGACAAAATTTAACCAACCAAAATACTGACTTTAAGTCTTTCAGCCAGTAAGTCTTTCATCTAAACTCAATCCCCCTCAAAAGTCCCCAAAAGTTCTGGACAGAAGTTGTAACAGTGACAGTATTACCAGAAATGGTTGCTGTACTATCATTTAATTCAGTGTATAGAATTTGTAGATAAAGTGAATGTTCAATTAATATACAAGCAATATACAGCTCAACATCCTCAGAGCATGGGCTGAAACAATCATATGATTGCTCCTGCCAGAGTACCTACAAATAGCCATACAGTGTTGGACACAATCAAGACTTGAATTAACAATTATCGTGCTAAAAAACTCTGTTTCTGAATCACTAGCCTCCCACCTAATACACTGTTGGATGTAACATTTAAATTATAGCCTCATCAACCAAGTTCAGCTGTATATTAGTCATCACTTGACATAACAGACCAGAAAAGTTCCTTTGGAGCCATTCTCTCTGGTACACAAATCTATCTTCTGAACAGCCAGTAGTTGAAGTATCTTTCAGTTATTAAAATCAGGCAAGTACGTGGTTTAGTAGAGTTTTCCTCACATATCTGTAAGTTAGAACTCCAAACTAAAGATCAAGGAGCTGATCAAAACCACATCCCACACTGCATCAAGTACAAAATCATTTTAGTGCACTATACTGTGTTACAATCTTATTGTAACATGGTTTCAGCATGTTTGTAAGAAGCAGGGCTGTGCAACAAGGGTAATTACTCAATTTTTCAACACAAGACATATCATCAAACACTCAGCAATATAATAATATACTATATTCCTAAAATATATTCCCACTTTATACTTTAGATAAGGGGAAAAGCAGAAAAAAATATTTTCAACTATCACTGAGAGAAGGAATGGAAAGTGAATACAACACAGGGAAACAAAGGTCATGGCAGCAAGAAATTCAAGAGGGAAAGACAGCACCACTCAAGGACAAAAATGGAGGAGACTGAGGGGAAGAAAACTGGAGTAGAATGCACACATCTAAAAAGAGGAACTGTTCTGCTGCATATTAAAAGAAAAGTTAACATGACAAATAAGGTGACTGAGTTTCAAAGGATGGGCAGAGGGAAAGTACAGCTTATTTTAGCAAGCCTTTAGAAATGCATCACCCCAAGGAAGGGGGAGTCAGCACAGGAGCACCAGCCCTCAAGCAGAAGAACAGCAACAGAAGTGCCTACACCTGCTCCTTTGTCTCCAGTAGTGCAGCCATTCCTGTGTCCAAGCTCAAGCTGTCAGCACAGTGAAAGGCCCCCACAGAGAGGTTGGAGCTACCACCAAAACAGCCAACAACACCAACTCCCAACACCCCAGCAACTACAGGCTTACCTAGGACTGTCAGGGCTTTGATGACATGCAAGTGAGAGAAATGCATGTTAATATGGACAAATAAAATATATACAAGGAAAAAATGCCAAGGCCTCTTTTGTAAAATTCCCACCTGAAAGTGATTCTCTTCACAGTTATAAACTTTTAGAATGAGTTTATAATGAGAACACATGATGCTCTAAGTAGTGAAATATCTTCCAAACACCAAAATTTGGTGCCAGGTAGAAAACACCATTCCGCACATAGTAGAATTAGGAAGTCTTAAGGAAAGGAATAAACTATTACTTTCACATTTCATCATTAACCCTTACCAGCTGGGTCAACAACAAGGTATAATTTTATACAACACTAATATGCAAAAGAGTAAATATTTAACTACAGTATACAAATTCTTTACTTACAGTTGCTTAATTTGGTCAAATTCTTTTTCAGCTTCTGCATAACAGAAAAAGGACTATATAAGGTCTCAATTTAACAAACATTAGAAAAGTTCTGTTTAATTATATTATTTACGCCATGTTTAACAAAAGTTTTTTCATTTTATTAGTTTTCTTAAATTTGCAATTCAAATTATTTTGTTCCTCTAATGGAATTACCTGTCAATTTGTCAAAAAGCTTACTTGATCAAGTTTTATTAATCTGATTTTAATACATATCATGTTATAATGTATAACCTATATATATATGTATAAGAAATATCCATACTTGTGTTTTTCTATATGTGTAATAGAAAGACATATATACATTGATTTTTTTATATACATATATGTATATATATATATCACTTCTGTTTCATCTTGCAGATCTAGTTCACCTGCCTGTGGCTTAGGTTCACTAAACAACAGTAGTGCATTCTGTTTTAATGCATTTTTCCTTCTTAATTTCTTGACAGAAGTTTCTCCCATCAAGACTATTAACAGTTGCTTCCATTCATAAGCATTTCCCAAAAAAATATAGCCTTGAAATTCCTTTGTCTTGTAAGGAAAAAATAAGGACTACGAAATCCTTTAAGGGAAAGTAGGGCTTACTGAAAGTACTTTATACTCAAGTTCAACACTCATGCAACAGACTTAAAAATCTAAAACAATACAATTTCCTAGAAGAAAGTATTTTATCAGAGAATAATAAAGACGTAAGAAATCACACTGAACCTCATATATGAAGTGCTTTGGGTCATACATTTCTACCTTTGACAACTTAAAAGGAAAGCTAGAAAAGGCTGAAAAAAAACCCACTTACCTGCACATTTCTCTTTCTTTGTCGAATACAACTCATAAAGGAAAATAATAGTTACTAAAATAACAACTTCGGCCACAATTGCTAGAAAGGGTTTGAGAGGCACCATGAGGGATAGAACTTTAAGCTTCAGCTTTCCTTTACTTTTCCCTAATTCAAAAGCAGCTTCACACCAATATACACCATCATCTTCCTTGGTGAGCTTCAGTATCTTCATACAAGTTGCATTAGCAGATATTCTATTAATTGCATACTTGTCTGTCAAAGTGTCATTAATGGCAATCTGAAAATTAAAAGTACAAGTCTTATTAATGCAAATGAGAAAGTGTTTAATCAAATTATTTATATTATCAACAGATGGTTCTATACAGAGAAATGTAAAATGAGTTAAGAACCAGTGGCATTTGTGAAGCATGTTTAGTCCACCTCAGATTTAACCTAGCTGGCCACCCTGTTTCTCTTTACATTCAGTGGAGGAAAACAGGCACTTTTAGTGAGCAAGCTGTCTGACTTGTTTTAGTCTAAGATCAGATGAAAGGTACCATTGACTACTGACTCTTCAGTGACAAAGGCAGCCTTGGTTTTCAGGATCTAACGTCCAGGTTTCACCTCAGCACAAAGCATGCACTTTCAAGGAAGTTGAACTGGGAATGCTGTTTCACTGGGAAATATGTTGATAGTCTCACAAATCAGTGCTACTCTCTGGCAATATAGAGATCTATTTCCATCCTCTCAGTTAACAGTGCTTCCCCCAGAAAAGGGGTAGAGCAAAGTGGCTATGCTTTCAAGGCTAAGGGGGATCCTGAAAGGTGGCTATGTGGAGGAAGAAAACTGCTGAACAGGATTTTTCCTCACATCCTTTAAAGGCAAGAGCTGAAGTACGAAGAGATTTCAGTTCCTTCAGAGTCAAGTGGCACGGCAGTTTCCACCATGGGATGACCTCCTTCAGGTCCAGTGCCCCAGAGAGGTCATATAGGCTGGGAAATACAGAATTACTTGTACCTGGAGGAGGAGTAGGAAGGAAAGAAACATGCTCTTGTTCTCCCTCAAGTCTCTAATACCTTACAGGTCTTTAAAAGAGAGTCCTGATATGACAAGATTTTTTTGGTATCAATTAGTAAGATCTGATCAATATAGCCATCATTAATATAGTCAAAACAAGCATCTCAAGACTCACCTGATTTCTTTTTCTTATCTGGGCTGTAAGAGTATGGCAGTAACTTTTTGGAAAAGACACATCATACAAACCAGAACAAAAGCTAGATCCCTGTAATAATGAATACTTCTAAATATCACAGATTTTTTCCATGTACAGAGATTTACATTAACTTTAATGGAAAGGCAATTTGTAGATCCTACAGTGAAAAGTCATTATACTTCACAAAATTTCTGTACTTGGTTTTTACCATATTGTTTTGCTTAGCCAACATATAGAAACCTTACCCGTTCACTTCCATTGGTCATATACCAGGTCCAAGCAATGGGAGTATAGCCAAAACTATTACAGATCATTACAGCTGTATCTCCTTCATAACCGACTATGGGTTTTTCTTTTCCTTCAGTTTTCGGTACTAAGAACAAGTAGGAGAAAGTTCATCAAGTGAGAGCTACGGGTTTTAATTACAGCATTACAAACAGATAAAACATATTTAGATATGTATTTACAGTTGTCCATTCACTTAATTTTCCCTTAAAAATATAGATCATTCTATCATTCATCCCATGATCTAAATGAAGAGTCATTTTAGGCTGATATTCCACATGCAGAATACTACAGGAATCCTGTTCTCAGTTGTTGTATGACCTTAAAAATTGCCAATTAATACCGAAAAACAAGTGATAAGCAGATTGTGATTTTCACCCTTGTCCATTTCCTCTTTCTCTTCCTTAACATCTGTGAGCTACATGCTTCAGTTGTAGTAGACTATAAAAAAAAAAAAACATACTAGTTTTTCTGCAGTTTCACTCAATCTGCAAAAACTGATAGAAGTCTATTCCAGCCATAACGCTACCACATAATGGTATCTGGGAAGTTGTGCATGAAGAGAATTTTTTGTAATTAAGACAAAACTGCAGAGTGAGGGAGCTTTGTAGTTACAAACATTTTCTGAGCTAAAATAATGACTTCTGTGTGCGTGCCAATAAAAAGAACTTTTGGTCCAATCCTGCTAAGCACAGAACATGGTCACAAGAAACAATACATCAGTTTATAACTTCAGAGCTACTTCTCCCAGCCATTATAACTGCACATGCCCCACAGACTTCCAAGAGAAGAAGCCCAAAAAAGGCTGTGTTGCAGCATTCCACAGATACAGTTAGAGCCGAGCAAATATATCCTGTATTTCCCCTTCCCCCCTTCTCTTCCTCTTTATTAGGCTGTTTACCAGCAAGTTTTCCTAAGATTCATTTATTTTGAATTTTACTTCAAGTTTCATTGCTCTATCTTATAAGTACAGATCCAGTACATCTTTAAATTATGAGTCACACTAGACCAAACAGGCCATGAGTTTGCTTTCAGTATTTATGATGGAACAATTTGGTATAAACATAAAAAAACAAAAGCAGGTTTGTAAAAAAGAATGGAACACGTGGAAACAAATATTAACTCCTTAAACCCAATACAACAGATTTATGTGGTAGTAAAAAAAAATGTAGGCATGCAGATCAGTAGCAAAGCACAGCTAGAGGCATACCAGCAATACATGTGACCACATTTCCCATGATTAAGGACATGAATATCCACAATGAGTTCTGAGATCTGGCTCTAACAGAATAGTTAATCCTTGAATGCATACAAGGAAATAATATGCTTTGTCCCAGGTATTTTTGCAACTAGATCACCCAGAATTTGGTGACAAAACACTGCTGCTGCACAGAAAAAAAAAAAAAAAGAAAAAAAAAAAAAAACACTGTTGAAGAGATGGACAGGTGATTGCATCAGCACTTTTTTTAGTCAGATTTCCACACTGGTTTAAAGACCTGAGTTTTTTCATAGTGCACATACCTGAACAGCTGCTTAAGGATCCCTGAACAAAGGGCAAACAAATTAATCTATTCTACTCTTTCATATCACTATTACAACACTTCACACCATTTAAAAATACCCATGAATGGCATCCATGTTTAATAAATTGAACTTCCTTTAAGTATCTCTTATTGTTTTCTGCAAACCAGGGTAAATGCTTAACTCATCAATGTCTACACAGTTATGCCGTGCCAGGATGGGGAGAAGTGGAAGAGAGGTGACACATCAATAGCACGTAACTGCCTAGTGGAAAGGCTACTGCAGTTAGTTACAGCAGTGATTACTTTAGCCAGTGTGTACCATCGCATTACTCATCTTTCAGTTTGAGAATTTTTCTCTGCATTATTGACTAGAGGATTCAAGGACTTCTCTTTCCAATTTCCTTCACTCTTGCATTAATCTTAAAAAGTGTCAAGCCAGTACCTTTTATGGCATCAGAAGTGGCAGCATTCAAACACTGTGAAGCAATTCTCCCACCGCCTTATAATAAATCAACCAGTCCTATGCACTGTTCTGGAAAAGATGACTTCCTATTAAGTCATTCCTGCCCTTACTGAAATAGTTATTGTATGCCTTCAAAAGAGTAAGGTCTCCTTTGACTTTTTAAAATCTAAACAGACTTGGGTGGCCATTCAACTAAATTCTACCCATGTGTGGACAAGCAAAATATGTAATGATTTTTAGATATTGAAAGGTCTGAATCAACTACAATTTTGTCTTTCTTCAGTCTTGCAAGCTAGTCTCCCCTGGTTAAAGGTTTGAAAGCATGTATCAACATTATTATTTAAGATCTGAACATACACGAGAGTCTCCTCAAATCATATGACCAGATATCCCACTGAACAAAGGCAGCTTGCAGCACTGAGAATCACAAAGCCCTGATGGTTAGGTTCAGATGAGGTTAGGATAGTTATTTGAAGAGTTACACTTTTTAGGAGCCTGTGTTCAGGGAGAATCTTATCTATCAGTCTGTGGAGCTTTCACAGATCAAACACTTGCCTTGCTCTTTGCAAAATTTGGATGGTGGGAGTAGAAAAGGAAATAGCTCTCATTAGAGATGAAGGCTCTCAACAGCTTGTATTTGTTCCATTTCCACATGTCTTCAATTCAACTGGATTTTACCTACTGCTGTTGGGGGCCACACTACTGGAGAAGAGAATACAAAACAGAAGAGAGGGTACTTGTACTGCCCAATGAAGCACATTAATTTTGAATGTAAGTGCTGCTCATTTTATACAGAATGAAAGATGCACTAAAGCAGTGATTTGGTGTTTCAGAAATACAACTGAATTTGTTCAAAACCCTGCCTCTATTCTGCCAATCATTGCTCCTCTGGTAACAATGCATCTCAGGCCAAATTTTCAAGTTACTGGCTTTGCTTTTTGAGGAATTTCTGGGACACCATACTTTTCTCCCACCCCCCAGGAAAGTGATCAGTGTTCGTTTCTGCTGTACAGAAAAAGAGGGAAGAGGAAATCAGTTACTTATTTAGCAAACTCTTTTAGTTGTTAGAAAATTTTGTTAAAGAGACTTTTAGTTTTTGCTTCAGAATTCTTCTTCCCTCCATGTTATAGAAATGCCACTGATAGTGATTCTCATTTAGCTTGACCATGTTACTCACTGCTTATCAAATTAAGTTGCAAATTTCATACTATCCAGAAACCATATTAATACAGGATTTCAATGGTCAACTGAAACAAAAATTTTAAATTAAAATACAATTACCTTGTAAGTGAAATATAGCGCTGATTTCTTCTTCACCTTTCAAAGTACAACTGTAACTTCCCATCTTACTTTCGTCCGTGATCCTCAATCTTCAAAAAAAAAGTTTCACTGATTTTCTTTTGTCTTACAACTATGAGTGACTGGTAATTAACATTCTAAAGAAATGAGCAGAGACTAAGTGGAGCAGAGACATCCATTGCTAACACACTACGATCAGGTTTAGTGCAATGTAGAAACAGCATGACATTTTTAAAAAAACAGAATAGCACAAGCACACCTGGGAACATAAATATCATTTTCACCCTTGTTGCTCATAGAAAGCCAAGCATCTTTAAGTAGTATGATCTACAGGTTACTGAATTAGACATGGGTTCACCATGTGGACTATGTAGCATATACTATGCAGGACTTCAGAAAAGATTATTTAAATGGTTTTCACTTTCTAAAGCCAGTCAGTCAGTCAATGGCTAGCACAGCTTCAAAACAGAACAGTTTTAAAGAGTTGCCATCTAATGAAGTCCAGCTGGCAAACTGCATTTGACAGGCATTTTGAAGAAGATTTACATGGTTTTGTTTGTGTATGTGGAGAAACAAAAAAGTACATTCTCATCACATTTTGTATCATAGAAATTTTATGTAAATATTACGGATATTAAGAAACCAAAGCTGTACAGAAATCAGCTGGAGACTAAAATTAGCCCAGCTACATATTTTTGAAGTCCAACAGGAAATTGTATCAAATAAGAGATGTTGTAGAAAATTGTGAGTCTCTGTAGAGTTTTGAAAAAGTTAAGAAAACCTTTAAAACAATCCAAAACATCTTTACCTTAAAGCTAATTTCTTCTTTTTCTTTTGCTAATTAAGAAGGAAAAAAGACTGGCCATTGATGCCTTTCAGACTTCTGCAAAGCAGCAAAGGTGGGAAAGAGAATGTGGAAAAATAAATGGATGTACTTTAGCAATCTCAGACTGAGATTACTACTTCACTTACTGAACCTTAAAAAAATGTTTCCTTATTCTATATTCTTGTTTTGAAGAAACCTTGTTTTTCCAGTACTAGAAGAACAGGAGCTCTTCCCTCCAGGCTTGAGATAACTGCAACCCTTCTCCTCTCTTGCAGCTTTAATAGGTTTATTATGGGCACATATTAATCACCACATTTGGCTTGTTTCAAATATATACATGACTAGTATTGGGTACTTTATAAGCACGTGGTAACTCATGTGAGCCTTCAAGTCAAAGTAAAGAATGATACTTACTGGATGCTCCAGCTGTTTTCAGTTTTATTGATGTGTCTGATTGTTTCATTTCCTCTCTTCCAAGTCACTTGAAGACTTTTCAAATGAGAATATTTATTGTCTAATCTGCATGAAAGTTCAATTCCAACTGCATGGTCCAAAGTGATATTTTTTTGCACAGAAGTACCAGAAACACCTACACGTTAAAAAAAAATTTAATGTTTATGAAAAACATATTTCTTCATTCTAGAGGAAGAAGAGATTCAGAGATAATGTTTTACATATGCTAGATTATAGCATATGTACATACAACATACATTTTACACGTAAGTACAGTGCACTGCTATTATATTTTCAAGGGTAAAACAATTTCAGAATCAGACAGTGTTTGACAGTAATTTTCTTAAGCCATAACTCAGTTGTGATACATATCTCTTACAAAAACAACACAGTCACTCCATTCTGTAGGTAAACTTCCCAAAGGGCTCTAATATAGAAACACAGATAAATTTCACTGAAAGCAAGACAGACTTATGCTTCTACATAATTGAATCCAATCCAAAATATATTAAGTACTTAGCTCTCAGCAGAAGGAAAAAATGTCAGCTCTCAATCTGAAGTTCCTTTTTGACTTCACATTTTGTATTAAAAAAGCATAATTTATTGCATTAAAAATCTTATAACTTTTAATATACTAATATAAAAAAATAGTTATACTTGTAAATACCTATAAGCATACAGGTTTTAGCCAAGTTGCAGATTATTATGATCTCACAGTATCATAGGTAATGTCCTGTTTCTAGAAGTTGTGGTAAAATCCAGAACCTTAACGTTGAATCTGGCCCTTCATGCTACAGCTACTCAGCTTGAAACAAAATCTTCTGCAAACCCATTTATGGCTGCTTTTGTGTTCCTAGTGTCAAGCCAGTAGAATTCCAATGTGAAAACCCCAAGACAGTGGAAATAACTGACAATTGTTTTTAACAAGCTCTATAAGCATATCCAAAAAGTAGATTTCAGCAGGTATCTCCTCTGATCCATACAAACAGCGTTTTATTAAAAGCACCTCCGACTTTTTACCCTTCAGCACTGACATTTTATTGCATAATTGGCCTTTTCTTTCATGCCTTCCAGATACAACTATGGTTAGTCCATCTGAATACTCCATGAAAATTTATTACAGGACTCACTTCAATCCTAAACTTATCCTGTAGTACTTGATAGTCAAAAAAATGCACCTGTATTTCACAGCTCAAACTCCTCCTGAAAGAAAAGGCAGTTTTAAGGCACAGCTCACTGACTTAGCAAAGCACGTCATACTTAGGAAGCCGTAAAATCTAGCTGAATCGGAAGCACCATATACTCCCATAGAATGTTTGAACTTCACTGGGTCAGCAGAGACATTTACAGCCTGAAGAACAGCATGCCCAGAAGTCCAAGTCCCAGCCAAATTATGTCAGATTTTTTGAACCAGAGTTAGAGGTGCAGTATCTCAGTCTTTCAGAGCAGAGCAAAGCCAGTTCCTGAAATTCATTTATTAGAGACATTATACTCAATGAGTCAAGCATAACTCACCCTGCTGAGGTTTATGATCAAAGTAATTTTACAAATGGAATTGGTTTCACGGTAGCAGAAGTTTTACAGTCAGATTAATTACACTGGCTAAAAATAGAATCCATATCTTTTGATATTTTAAAAATAAACCCACTCTTTAAATTAACTGAACATGAAAGCCCTCTGCTGTTGAAGATTAACCACTAGCCAGACTGATACCTGGGGCATCTCCCTACCAAGAGTAGATGTACTAGAACAAGATATAGAGTCTACCTTAAATTTTCTGCTAGAAGAAAATACAGCCATAAATCCTGTGCAATTATGTCCTTAAAATAGCTTATCAGTATTTTGCAAAGGAGTTCTAACTGATCTCCTCCAACTGAGAGAGATTTTAATTAGATCAGTTTTTCCAGTTGTCCAAGAAATTAGTTACAAATTATTTGGCAACTAGGAACTTCACATCTACTTCAAGAAGAGGCTTGTCTGTTCTCCATGGTTTAACTGTTGTAATGCTGCAAAGCTGGCCAATACCTGCTGGTCAGCCAGTCTCTCCAAGTAGGTTCACTTGTGCTAACAAATCATCATTTGAATTACCTTGGGGGAATAGAGAGCTATGAGTTGTTTTCACTTGTGGTTTTAATAAAAAAATCTCATTTTCCACTGCAAAATATTAGAACACAATACTCAACAGTGCAACAAACTTATTCATCTTTTCTTATTGAGCTATTGCATGCATCTTAACTTCATCAAGAAGTTGACATCCTAAATACTTCAACTCATACAAAAGATTGTGTGTAATCATAGGCACTCAACTTAATGTAGCTGGAAAAGAAAATAACACACTTACCAGGTAGGAGTGCCTCCACAAAAATGACAGATATATTCACTTTGCTTGCCTGCTTGAACTCTTGTGTGGCAACATCTGGACCTAACAAGGCTGTAGGGGAAGCAAAGTAATATTATCATCCTGTAAAGGTAATTATGCAGCAGAGTGTCAATATGGTATTGCAATTGTTTCTTATAGTAATCTTAATGGAAAAAAAGGACCTTGCCAAATGCTGACTACTATGCAGATCCTTTCATATACCTTGTGTGTTAACAGCCAGAATCTTAGAGCAGCAGTGTTGTGTAGTCACTATTGTAGCAATTATGCCATTTTAGAAGATGGTTTCTAGCTTTAATATAGTGTAATTGTCAATGTCAATACTCTAAAGAGGTCCTAGCTACCGATTTTAGTCTAATTCAAAGAGTCACCTATAACTTACAGGTAGGTCCTAGAACTGTCTAAGGACTACATCAGTGTTTAAGTAGAGCATGGAAAAGTAGTAAGCTTTAGAAAAATAAAAAAGAAGAAACAGAAAGACAAGACAATGCCATTCTCAAAGCCACGATAATTTAACAACGCAGCCAGAAAGTTACAGATAGACTATCTAATCTAGATGCAGCTCTAACAAATGCAGAGGCAAGAACACCCTGTGCTCCACTAGAATATGGTCAGAGTCCCTCACCCATGGAACTCCTGTTATGCTGCAGGGAATACCTTTCCACACACAAAGAATAGCAATACCAACCATCATCTGCCTGACTACATACTCCTTTCCTTCTGTGAGGGAAAGCTACAATTAAAACATTTAATATGGCCCACAAAATCCCTTTTCTGTAGGGCTACAGATAACATATTATTTGGAGACTAGTTCTAGAAAGCTTGATACAGTTATCAGGCAGGTAACTCTAAGCATGAACAGTCTGTCCCCACCACTATACTTGTTCTCATGCTCTGAATATTTCAAGAACAGAGCAAGAAAGCCAATTAATAAGCTACAGCTTTCACACGCATTTTTTACACATCATTATTTCATTAGTATTGTACTATCTGCATACAAGTTCCTAGTAAACTAAAGCCCACTATGGGAAAAGACATTAGAAGCTATGCTTAAAGGAAAGGTCTATTCAATACAGTTATAGCTATTTTCATTTTTTTCAGTTTCCACAGTTATTTTCTATACAACTTTAAACAAACTATTTGTCTTGGTAATTATCAACTAACATGAATCCTCCATAACCACTTAATTAAACAGTATCAAGGTAGAACCTTAGGGTAACTGAAATTTAGTGATTTAAGTAGAACACAACATGCGATTGTTTTTACCATGTGTAGATACATTATGTCCAAGTGTCAAATGATCTGAAGGGCTCTCCCCAGTTTGCCAGTTGACAGTTCGTGTAGTTGTCATGGGCTCTGAAAGGTTAAAAAACCCAAACTTGTTACAAAAAAATTAATTTTCTTTCAATTTAGTGATAAAAAGAAAGATATTTACATCACCCACCACCACAGTAGACACAATATACTGTGTTTTAAGCCACATGTTTTACATGCTTGCAAACTAATTTTGTCAATTGTTTTACAATGCCTTTCAGAAACATATAAACAGTAATTACAGATTGAATCTGCCTAATCATACAACACTATAGAAGAAAATTATTCTAGCTTTCAAAGAAGGAAAGGGGTTTCATTATCTCTCCTGTCCATGGATTCAAAATGTACCCACTCAGTTGTGAGAACAGAAAATTGGCTACAGCTTCAGTCTTCTGAGAGAAGCACTGGGTGGCAGAGTTGATCACTGTGCAGTGGAAATACTATCTTGGAAAGCCTAGATCTTCTCAGAATTACTCCTTCTCTTTTCCTACATGAAATACTGAACTTTACCTCAAAGTTCTTAAACACATGCCTCTCCGCTACAGTTGAGAAATCTGGCTGTGCTGAAGGAGGTCCCTGCTAAGGGTTAACAGCTAAAGATCTCTGAGCAAGCATAAGCAGAAGTACCACGTCTTCCACCTTGCTGGCCAGTCCTGTAAAGCAGTGTTTATCAACATGTCAGCTCAACAACAGAGAATGCTATGCCATAAGGCAATCAGCCTTTTACTTTGCTTGTTCCATCTGCACTTTCACACCTTCCATTATGCTTCAATCAGTTTAAATAACAGTAAACCTGTATATTAAGGTGGACGTTGTGGAAAAACACAGCTTCAATCTAGTTCACTTGGCTGTTGACAGCAGACTGGTCAATCTCAACTACCAGTCCAAAATGGCTTTTTAAGCAAAAAAATTATAAACTTGTTTCCTAGCACCAGTCAGTAAGTCCTGTTGCTCTAGACAAGAGCACAAGCAAGCCTTGATCTTGCCTGATGAAGAAAAACTAGTTCAAGTGTTCACTCCTGAAATAACATGAGGGCTGAAAGAGTGTGCATTCTTCCTCTATGTGTGCAAACACCTTGACAGCATGCCAAGGCTGTCATGGATCACCTGAGTTTATGTCAGTCTAGTGCACACACCAACTGGTTTGTTACTGAAGTCTCATGATGACACATTCAAAAAGCATCAGTTCATATGGTAGTTGTTATCCATCCACAAAAAAATACAGAGCCTTTAAAATGTCTTGCACACTAGTAAGATCCTCATACTGACTTTCTTCCTCAATTCACATATCACATGAAAATAGTCAGGCGAGGTCATATTATACAAAATACTTAATGTATTTTAGCTTATATGTATGTTTATGTATGAAAAGAGTTATTGAATCCATTAGCTAATGCACTCTCTTGTTCTCACACACATTGTGCTAAATAGCTCTGAAGATGAACACCAGGTAAATAACACTATCATCTTCAATGAGAAAACTGTAGACAGAATATCTTGTCCAAATTTGGAGTTCATGTATAAATATAACTTTGCCTGTGTTTGCTTTGTAGTAATCAACATGAGCTTTGGTACACTGCTGAATTATCAGTTTCTTCTCCTGCCTGGAACTTATTCTCTACTCCCTATCAAAACCACAATTAAGGTCTAGAATATGGTAAATAAAGCGTAGGGACAAATGAAGGTTTTGACACATCCATAATTAAAAAGAAAAAATATATAGATGAAGCTGGCAGACAGTGATGCAAGGGCATTATTACACCTCTGACTAATACAAGAACATAAGGAGTCCTCACATGAAAAATCGTCAAGTGTAAGTGCTAGAACAGAGCCTCCCACAATCATTCTAGTTCAGGAAATGTTCTATCTTCAGGGTCACTGCCTGCTTTTATTGCATATATACATAAGGACAACAGATCACACAACTGGCAGTTGGATAGCTTTTTCCACAGTCCTCAAGGTACTTATGACACTTCTTTTGTAGTGGCTTTAAAAGGCTTAGATGGTATCTTAACTTCTGTTCCTTCTGAAAAGTCACAGTCTTATTTCAGAAGACTTTAATAAGAAAATATAAACTCTACATTGTAACTCAGTAATACTAGGGAAAAGTATTATAGCTTTAGGTGTACTGAAATAAAAGAGTTACCAGGAGATGATTCATTAAATCCAGCTTGCATCTTAGTCAAAGAGTTTGCCTGAGACTGACTGGCATCTTGTGTTGTCATAGCTGGATCTGAAGAGAAAAAAGGGTTGAAAAAAACCTTTATTCTCTCTCAGTTGAGCTAAGTTAGAAGTATCCAGTTCACGAAAATAATTCAAACAGAACCTCCTCACTTCAGTCTACTACCTCCATTTTTTTACAAGTTCTCAGCATATATAGCCCAAATGTGCAAGAATTACTTTTCATTAGTTCTTCAGCTTACTTTAGTCAAAAAGAGATTTAAGAACAGAGGCAGTATTATTTGACCTCTAATTTCTGCATATAGATATTTTCCTGTAGTCATGCAAAGTCATTCTTCAGAATATTCCAGCAGACTAATAAACTTTACAACCTGTACTCAAATCCTGTCTTGTTTGTGGGTTTAGATCACCACAGTTTATGACACGGACACTAGTTGATTATTTTAAAACACAGATTAGTAGATTCACTAATAAAATAAGGACCTCATTACAACCTTACATGTCTACCCTGTTTTGTGATGCAGTGAACAACCTTCTTTATTATCATCACCTTGGTGAGCAAAACAAAAGGCATCTGTGTCAAACATTTACTTCACCAATAACAACTACTATTTCCACTCTCCTTAACACTATTGTAAATCTCATTCTGCTCCTATAACACAGAACACTGTTTAAAAGCCAGGCAAGACTCTATAGTTTTGCTTTATGTTCTTGACTGGAAAAAGGACAGCAGTGGAAGAAGCAAAAGACTTGCTTAGTTTGAGTATGTCGCTGTGTCACTCTCCCACTAAGAATTCAAGGTTCCTAGACATTTTATAAAAATGGAGATGTTTGCTCCTTCCTTTCTGCTCCCACATTTTGGTGGCAGAACTCATTAGTGTACAGTACACTCTAGCACCACATGCTTATGTAGTCCACAACATATTCTACTGCTACAGCAGTAGGATATATTCTTCCTCAAACTCAGACCAAACTTCCATTAGTAGCTTCTCAGTGATTTGGCCAGTAGTTACACAGGGAAAAAAGGACACATGTTTTGCAGTTGTAATTAAAGTCTGGGAGGGCTAATAAGCTCTGCTAGACATTGAAGACAGCAGCAAGCATGTGAAGAGTGAAAAGCTCCATCACAGTTTAAGTGTGTGCAAACTTGCTGAGAACTGTGTGCTTTCCACATAAAGTAAAGTTAGCACCCTGCCAGTTCCTATAAGTGAACAACACTACTAACACTCCTACCCCATTTCAGTGCTACAGGCATAGACAACCTACAGACTCTCCCACTAGCACCTCCAGTTCACAGTTACTCCAGACTACGTCAGAGTCATTGCCTGGCTTGCACCATCTGCTTTCTCAACCTGCCTATCACACTTCAATCAGTTTGGATCAAGAGTAAAACAAGGTAAACCAAGCATAAATCAAGGATATAAGAAAAAAAAATTAAGCAATAGTGGATCTTAACAACAGGCTCTTAGTTCTTCATACCAGCCCACCGACCCCACAGCTAAGTGTTCCCTCCCTGCCCTTCACCCAAACAGAGAACTTAAGAAATCTGCTCTGTCTGAACATCTGCTGGCTTATGACCCAGCCAGTGAGAAGACCAAGTCTTATTCTCTGCTTGACAGAGTTGCTGAGGGCAGGGAGAGTTATTATGCTTCTGCTATACATGCCAAGGTTGAGGAAAGGTCCATGAATTTTTCTATCTGCAGCATCTTGAGGCAATCTAAGGATGTCACCGATCACATGACTGTTAGGTTAGTAGATGCATCACCTGCATAGTAATTAAAATCCCCAAAGATGGTAAATTTAGAAGGTGCCAGTGCCAAGCTGTAGAGGATCTCTGTCATTTCTCTGCAAGGCAGGCAGATAACCTGCAACGTGGTTTGCATACTAAGAGTGTTCTCATCCTGGCTCTCTTCCTTGACTCACAAGCTCTTCTCCTCTCATATACACCTGCTGAATAGCATCACAGATCAAGATGACCCAGCATCACATGCTAAGTGTCATCAAGCCAGGTAATGATGTAAGCAAATCAAGTGAAATGACTTCTCAAACTATTGAGTCATGGCTGCGTGCCTTAGCCTATAATTGATTTGCATTAGATTTAATCAATAGTGTGGTAGCTTGCTGAGTTCTTGTTGCTCTGATCTTTAGAAAAGAGTAGGTGAGAGTATGAGGTCATTAATTTATTTTTCTACCTTTGCTCTCAACTACAGTCATTATTTGCGGGCTGAAGTATAGATGTACCACACTTATTACCAGAACAATTTCAGGATTTAAAAACCTATTTCTCTCTTTTTCAGACAGAAAAGTGGCTGAATAAGAAAAGGTTGAGATAAATTAAACCAAATTGTAACACCATTAATTTAATGTTTAATGCCAATTAATTCAATGCCAATTAATTCAATATCAATTTTATACTCTGTACAAGCACACAAGCATTCAGCAGCATCCAAAACCAGCTGCCAGAACCTCCTAGTGCCCCTAGAAAAGGGAAAAGTCACAGGCTGAGCTATCCTGAGGCACCAGAGGATACACAGGAAGGACTTCCAAATGCCCTGATATAAGCCCATCCCTCAGGACAAACCAGAAAAATCCAAGCTGGCAGCGAAGTCTGTAAGAAATTACGTTTATCCTCTACTCATGTAACTCCTTGGTATCTCTTGGGGCAGAGGTTGGGAGACAAGATGCGGTGGGTTTGCTTTTCCTAAAGGAATCTGGCAGCACATGATGCAACTAAATTAGGCAACTACAAGGGTAAGCAAAGGAAGCAGCAAACTCTTAAGACCAGTGTTGTGACAGTTAGAAACTACCCTCAACTCAAAACACAATGGAAGTGATGGCTTAAGTTTTTCAAAACAATTAACTGAACACAGTTACAAGACTAAGAGACAAAAGTAAAAGAAAAATAAAAACTCTCAAGCTGCTTATCTCAAAATTTAAGAGGCCTCTTGTGGTATCCTCCTGACAGGCTGCAAAAGGCTATGCAACCCACCTTTCTGCAACTCAGTCCTTGTGTATCTAGTTCTCTCTGGTTGCTTTTACTACAAACATTTATTTTTATTGAAGAAACCCACTGAACCCCCACATCTCCAGAACACACACCGTTTCTGGACTTCACTAGAACAGTTTTAGCCCTCCTCCCTCCAAGGGAGCATGAACTTCCCCTACTGTACCTGTACAAATAGTCCCTGTGCTCGACTAGCTTTTTGCACATTTAGTTAATAACTTATGGAAGAGTAAAATACTCTTCCTCACATTCAAATCATCATGGAAATCACAAAACAAAGCCTGCCCACCTAGCTCATACAAATATAAAAGCGTTTAGTGGAAGTCTAAAAAACAACTGCCTTACTTTATACAGATAAAGGGTACTAAACGAGTCAGTGGCTCATTTCTCATGTCTGCTCAAAACCAGACATGATATTCGTCACTTTAAGATCATTGTAATTTGTGGAAATTTTGGAGGCAAACAGAGTTTTGTTGGGTTTTTTTGTTTTGTTTTGTCTTCAGATGAGTATATCATATCCCTGAGAGCTTTACATAAAATTACAATTGTTTCAACCACCATTAGGTAGTTTTCAGCAGTAGTAGTCATCAAAAATAAATACCACATGTCTAACTTGCCATAATGTGACTCCCATGTTCCTACAAATATCAGGGCATTTAAAAATCACAAAACTTTTTGATCAATGAAATAAACTGTTAGAAAGGACTTCAATTTTATGCGTGTGTACATAAGTACACATACATATTTTAAAGCTTTAAGAACTACAGATTTTCCCTTGTGTGCATACATAAATATATGTATTTTAAACAAGACTTGAGAACTGCAAACACATTTTCTGCTCTTTCACATTAACTGAAACTACTACAAATTGTACAGAAGTTATCATCACACAGAGAGCAGTATTGGTCCTCTTAGAATTAGGAAGACCAGAGGCACAAACAAAATGCAGATAAGCCATTAACTGTTAAAGTCACAGCAACAGTGTTCACATACATGTACTGGCAGAACTTTCTGCCTTGGCGAGATGTGCTCCAACAATCACATTTTGCACAGCAATCATCAGCAGTCTGATATTTCCATTACCGTTCTGTACTACTCTGCTATGCTTCAAAACAGAGATGAAGAACAGAAATCCACTAGTTTTAGAAGTAAGCTCCTATTTCCTTAGAAGTGGCTGGCCTGCTCCTGAGCTGCTGAAAAACACTCGGGGAAGGCCTGGAAAGCTCAAGTCTCTCTTCCCTTATGGATTTTAAATGTCAACTTTAAAAACAATATAAAATCCTCCAAGGCACATTCTTTGACCTGCTAGACATATTGATATTTTAGCAATTTAATTTACCAATTCGGGTTTTTTCAGGACTTAAACAATACGTTACATGGTAAGGATAGGGCAGCAACAAACCACTGTGCCTCAACCTCCAAGTCCTGAACCTGTGAGCTATTAAATCCTCCCATTTGCAAGGCAGAAAGCAGGAGACTGCGTAAAACCACAGGATTGAACATCCCTGGACGCGGCTCAGCACTTCACCCAGCGTATCTGCTGCTCACCAGCACACACGTGCGGGTTCGCAACGCTAACGGCTGCGTTACCGTCTGTTAGAGAGCATCAAGAAAAGGGATTCCTACTTTCCAGCAGGCCCACGAGAAACCCGAACGCTTTTTTGAAGCGAAAGACGAGAGAGAGGACGGGGGGGCAGGGGTGGCAGCGGCCCCCGCTGCGGCTGTCAGGGAGGAAGCAGCGCTGCGGAGTTCCGACCCCGGAGAGGGTCGGAGCCGCCGAGGGGAAGAAACGCCTCAGTAGTTTAAACAGTCAGGGCCGAGAGACGGCCGCCTGGCCGGGCCACCGCTTCGTCCCCCCGGGGAGCCAGGGAGATGCTTCGACACACGAAGGACCTCTGCTCCGCCGCAGCTTCCAGGCGGTACCCCTCCCCTTGTCGCCGCAGCCCACCCCGCCGCTGAGGGCAGCCGGGGCGGCTGCGGCCCGGCCCGGCCCAGCCCAGCCCGAGAGAGGAGGGAGCTTTTACCTGGGGGGCTCCCGCCCGAGACGGTGAGGTAAAGGCAGAGCAGCAGCAGCTGCAGCAGCAGCTGCCGGCACGGGCGCTTCCCGTAGAAGGCGGCAAGCATGGTGCCCGAACGGCCGCCGCACTTGCGCTGCCGATCGCCTCCGCGGCGCGCAGGCAGCTGGTTCGGCCACGTACCGCCGGCGGGTCGGGGCGGCTGAGGAAGCCTCAAGCGGGCCGAAGCGGCTCTGCGGGAGAGCCGGCCGCTGCAGCCGCGATGGGGATCAAAACCAAAACAAAGCAGCCCCAAATCCACCAACAGGGCAAACACCGGGCAACAACCAGCGGGGGGGGGGGGGGGGGGGGGGGGGGGGGGGAAGGCAAAGAGCCGCTGTAGGTACCACAGATCCTCCTCACAAGGAGAGCATGTAACAGTCGGCGCGTCCCCTCCGGGCTTTATGAGGCGGGAGGAAGGGCGTGGGTGAGCACCGGTGATTAATTGGCGAGGGGCCCTCACTGCTGATCCGGCTTGGAGGCTCTCTGGGGAGAGCTGGAAGCTGACAGAGCACGTAGGGAGGTTGGCTTGGGTCGGGTCGGGTCTTATTTTTGGCCAAAAGCAGCTGTTACTGCAGGACCACCTCGGCTCCTGCAACCCTCCGAGGCAGCTGGCTCTGGTAGGGTTTGCCCGGAGAATGTTGCCCAGGCTGCCCTTTGGCTGGTGATCTTCTGGAGAGCCCAGCTTTGAGGGTCAGTGGCTCCAGGGCAGCTGGGTTATACTGTATGAGAGCTGAGGCTTTTCACATCTCTTTTTCTAAATCTCCTGCCTTAGGCAGCAATGCCCGGAGAGCACCTTTTCTAATAAATGATTCTCAGGACTTTGATTAACTGCTTGGTGCCTTTAAAATCACAATTTAACAGCTTATACTGTTTTAATCTGTATTTAGCTGTGTACATACATAGTAAACCAGTTCATATATATAAATATATATGCATTTCTGTTTGTTACTTGATAAGTAACTGAATATGGATTTTGCTGTAGAAAATCTGGCAGGGTAGAATTCTCTGAAGGATAGTCTCCATCATAGGGTACTTGCTGCTTCTTCCTTCTTACCAAGATACCGTTACTTCAGCTAATGTAAAAGTTGAATTCTGTGTAAGGTTTATATCAATAATGCAAAAGGTCACTGTAACTAAGCCTTTACATAATTTTAGCTCTCCTGTGTTGGCAGAGCTGTATGAGTTTATGCAGAGCAGGAGTAAGTCAAATCCCGTGTGGTGATTTTCCAGCATTGCACACGTTCATGCTGCCATCCATGTCTTCCAATACCAGTAGGTGTCCTTCAGATTAAAATTTTTCATCATAAAGTCTCCCAGTAGATATAACTAACAGCAAGAGACTGGGAACAGTATTGTTTCATTAAGCCCTTCCTGCATGTCACAGGAAGACTCAGGATTACTGCTGACTAAATAGGACCATGGATAGATTCTTTCTGTTGAAAGAATGAACACCCTTCATATACTTGGAGCAATGGGATGGAGCCTTCTATACTCTAGCTCTGAGGTTGTTTATCTGATGTACAAAAATGTTGGAGGTCATACATATGAGTAGTCAGTGCACAGTGATGCCTATACAGCTGTAAATCCACTGCTCCTGAAATTTAGCTGCAACCTATAGATCTGTGGTGTGGTGTGATAGACAGACCACTGTGCTCTAAGTAGTCTGACAGCCTGCTGCAACTGCACAGAGCGATGGGATTCAGAGAGAATCCAATTCAGATAAGGCTGTTTAGGAATGGCAGAAGGTCTTCAGCTTTTAATGGGAAAAAAATTGGCTGGAGTGTGAAAGCTTTTTTATCTGAACCAGTTAGGCTTGAAGGGTCTTATCTCTTGCAGGTAGGGGTGAGAAAAGAAAAGAGTATGTTGACTGCCTTTAGATATAAATGGGCTGGTTTGTAGTTCCAGTTAGCTGTCCCTGGAATGGGTGAAAAGAAAAACTTATGTTCACCTAATTTAGTAGTTGGGTATGCAGCACTTTTTATCCTCCTGGAAACCACATGGATTCGTTAGTGTGGAGTGAATCTGTATAGAAATCTATGGCTAACCTCTGTCAGGAATGGAGCTGCTAGGACAGTCTGTCCTAGGAGCTCGCTGTGGCTCTATCAGTTCTTGCTCAGTGGAAATAGTAGAGGTTCTGATGGAGATGATTTGAGTGATGTGACATTATGTCCTATATAGGACTGACTTCTGTTTTTCCCCCAAGTCATCTTGGGTAGATCATCAAAGCAGCCTGAAGACATGAATACTTCAGGATTCCTTCAAAACTCATTTTCAGCGCTTGTCTGCTAATGGTGCATCCCACACTTACCTAATGATGAATGGGAAGAAAACAAACATTAAACTGCTCCTGAGGGACCTGTTGTTTCTTATAGTAGAAGCTACAAAGCAATGGAAGGGGGAAAGGCAAAGAGGAAGCAGAATTTAGGGGAAATGATTGAGCAAAGAACCAAACAGCCCTTTAGGGGTTTCAGTGTTCCAGAGCTTGCCTTACCATAATAATATGCTAGTACTAGATTACTCTCCAAATGCTGCTGCTGGATTTGGTAGATCACCAAAAGTGTAGAATTGAGAGATTTCAGAAATCATAAAGTTAGGGATAACAAACTATGAGAAGGTAGATTATTTGTGATATTAATAAAAATCAGTTTTCATATTTACTTGCATTTGGAAAAACTGGTGAGGAGGAATTTTAGGAAAAGTATAGTAAAACTAATCTACTCCATCTATTAACATCCAGCATATTTCCTCTAATTTCTTAAGGTAATTCTTTTCTCTCACTTCCAGAGAGAAGCTGACTTATTCTTACATGGTAATCACTTGGCAAATATGGTGGTCATTTTGGAACAAAGATTACTGTGTTGAACTATAGTCTGGCTTGTAAGAAATAACATACTTAATAAAAACTCTAATACAGGGAGATTGCTGGCTTATTCAGCTGGAAGATCTTTGCCAACATTTTTCATGGTAGAAGGAAAGTAAATCCAAATTTGAAAATTGCTGTGACATGTTAGCTGAAATAAAATTTTGATAATTTGTACTTTCACCATTCGTTTTCTCCAAAAACCAAGTCTGTGTTCTCAAAGCCTAGTGTTTGGCATTCATTTATTTCTGTTAATAACTAAAACAGTAGAATAACCAAAGGCCATACCGGATCCATCAGTTTCCTTGGCTGGAGGTTTGCTTTTTATAAAATCCAATCAAATTGTGAAAAAGGTAACAAATGCACATGTGAGAATAACTGGGAAAAGGAAGAAACAGTCAAAAGGGACTGAAAACCTCTTGAGATGGCTGTTCAGATATGTTTCAGGAATGGTGCTTAGCAGTTTTCAGTATCTGAAGCTGAATCATCCAGACCTTATTAGTCACTAGCTAGATTTTTCTAACATTCAAGTAACTTTAATGAGGAGACATTTGTTTATGAGTGTGAAATTTTTAATTGGAAAAGCATGAAAATAAACAGTGGGAAATAAGACATACAATTTAGAATTACTTCAGAAATAAGTCTTGCAAGCATAGCCAGGAGATAATTCTGCAAGGCCAGGAGATCATATTACTAATCTGTGGATCTCTATCAAAAAGATGTGCCCGAGTAGGTGCTATGCAACATCTCCATGGGTGCCCCATTCTACAGTAACAGTCATAATAAACTGTTGTAATAAAACAACAGTTTATTCAACAGTTAAAAAAAAAAAAATGCATTATGCATGTGTTTCTGAAAGCCAAAGCAATATATTGAATGGTAGTACAAGACTACAAAATGGAATGTTATTGTTTTCCCCAAACATTTATCTTTTGATTGCTGTCTTTGAAGGATTTAACTAAACTGACCTCTTGGCTGGATATAAAATTACAGGCCAGATTATGCAATCTGCATACTCTGCAACTGCCTACTCTGCAGTGTCTGCATCCTGCTGAGTGGCTGTAAATCTCAGTATCTTCTGTCACCTCCTCAAAGGCAATTTGCAGGACTAAGCATGTAATCTCTATTGAGAATTCTGCCATTTATCAAATGTCTAATGTTGTGTTCTAAAATCTGAGCTGTAGATGAAACAAAAATTTGGGCTATAGCACTGTAGAAACATATTTCTTAAAAATCCTAGGTTGCTGCCAGTACCAATTATTGAGATTGGCAATACTGATCATACAGGATACAATATTGATTGTTATTGTCCGGGGTTTGATTTTGTACAGGGTCACAGATTATGCAGTATGGCTTTGCTCAGAAAAGGCTTTGTTCACATGGCAAACACACCATTATCAGGAACTGGCAACCAGAAAGACAATTAAGATTTTTGGCAAACAGTTCTTCTTGCCTTTCTGCCCCACTGTCCCCTGAAGCCTGAACAAAATTGGCATTTTTAAATGGAAAATACAATGAAAAAACAGTATTTTGTTTAAAAAACAATTTAGATTTAAACCTTATGTACAGACATTGAAAGAATTTTCTACAATCTGCTAGTTTTATGTAGAACTAAAGTTCACTGTGACACCAATGCATGCCACCCTATCACATGGTTTATTTTGCAAGCTGTTGCTTCAAAATGTGTAGAAAATATTTTAAATGTCTCAAGCAAGGCCAGACTTTGAGGAAGGTAGTGTATTTCATTACAGTAACGTACCTGGAAAAAGTAAGCCAGCCTCTGATCTGAATACAATTTGGGAACCATTACTCTGTGTAATTGTAATTATGCAGGCACGCAGTCTTACCTACTGCTTTAATATCAAGAAGAAGATGATTAATAAGTCTTTTTCATGAATTCTCCATTTTCCAACCTGTCAAAGTCTTAAAAATAGTTTCTCTTTTGTTGAAAAGATAAAAAATCATGGGAGGCCTTGTATACAAAAAACTATGCAGGAAAGTCTCTTCCATTCTGCTACTTTACTTGCTCAATTATAAGCAGCAATAAGTGGGAGCACTAAGTTCTCTGGTGAAACAGGCCTTGTTTATATAATTGAAATTGGGCTATGTGAGGTTCTTGCTCTGGGGGAAGTTATGTGTGTGATGCACAAGATAATGCTTTACTGTTTGGTTTTTTTTTTTTTCTGAGTGTGTTGACAGAGTGTAGACATTGCCTCATTCAACTGACCTGTTTTATGTTTTCCTCTGCTGTGGTGGTTTCTTTTTCAGGTAGTTGACACAAACCTAGTTTCTCTGAATTTATTTTTTTTTTTTTTTAATTTGGAAATATGTTTGCAATGCTGAAGATAAGACTTGAAGACAATACAGTGTAAAATAAGTAACAAGTGGCCTAAGCCTCATTATATTCCTGATGGAGGGAAGTAATTCAAGTTAAACACTACTCCGTGTGTTTATTAGTCAAGTAAACTTTAGAAACTCTACGTCCAACAGCATCCTTTCACTTTCAACACTGTTTTTCCTTTAGTCTTTATGTATTATTTTAGAAAGAGAAAAGAGTACTTCAGAAAAAAGTGGAGAGAGCTATATAACTAAAACTGGTATTTGTAATTTCAAAATCCTGCATTTATGAACAGTTTTTAGTAGCCTTTTGCTTTTTAATTATTTTCTCTCTTAAATGGAAGTGAAGGGGTTTTTTCTTAAATCCCAGGACTCCAGGAAGGGAGCAGAAAAAAATAAGAAAAAGGATTGCAAAAGTTGTGGCATTTTTAGTGACTGCAGAGTCATCATAGCCAAAACTGATGAACTGAAGTGGGAAGAACCATGCTGTTATTTGAACACTTTATAACTTCGTGGAACGCAGGTAAGATATGTCCATGTCCTCATCTGCACAGAGGCAGAGACCTGTTTGTATGCATTGGGAAGACCTAATAGTAGTGGCTCTGAGTGAATGCGAATATTCACTTTTCTAAAACTTAAGAATCCCTATACATGTTGGCAGAACCACACCATCTAAGACAGCACAAGCAAAGGTATCCTGGAATCTGCACACTACAGGAGTACAAGTGTGTTTCTTGTACCATACTATTTCTGATAAAGAGACAATTCAGTTTCAGGGTTTACCACAGTGATAATTCTCATAGCTTTTAATTCACCCAAACACAACATTTATGTAATAAGTACAGAACTATTTAAATACTCTCTGAAATGATTCATACTCTGAACTGAATAGCTCAGTACTTTAATAAAAAAAGTACATTGCTCCAGAGAGAGGTGGTCTTAGGTATTTTTCTTTGGGTGGGAAAGTAAACACCATTCTAAAACAAAACAGCCTGTAAACATTTCTACTTTGTCACATGTGGAAGACCTTCTTTCAGAAATTGTTTACCAGTCTGCAAGTATTTCATTTGGAGAAGTGGAAACGGCATGTAGCAAACAGAATTCAGACAAAGGAAGGAAAGCCACCAGAACTCTAATAAAGAAACATACTTGTCTGCAATAAGAAAGAGTATCAGGAGTCAGGCTTTGCACGTCTAGAATTTGTGGAATACCTGTTTGCACAAACCCATTTTCTCTCACAGGCTCTTTCAGTCTGACTGTGCATCATAATCCTCCAGATTTTCTGATGCCTAAAAGCTGTGTGCACTCTAATTCTGCCAGGAGAATGTTTTCATCCAGAGCTGTAAACCACCCCAATAGAAGTGTCCATTGGGATCTGTGAGACAGGAACTGCTGGGCTCTGACACAGTCATCTTACGTATCTTTTTAGTCCTGTTAATATACAAATTTTATTTTACACTGGTAATAATGGAGTTAAAATGCCTTTTTCAGCTGAGTTTATGTCACACCAGAAGGGTTCAAAGATGAACTTCTGAAGGTGACTTTTTAACAGCAGATTTGTCCTGCAAGGCATTTCCACAAAGGATTCATCAGGGTTATATTATAACTTGGGCAATGTTATCAATATTTCCAGGGAAAAAATACATATATATATATATATATATATTTGTGTGTGCGTATTATATATATATGTGTGTGTGTGTGTGTAAGTGAAAGAGGCCTAAATTATATTAGTGTGTAGAATGTAAATTTCAAAGTGAAGAAGAATCATAATAAATAGTTTTTACTTTTATGTCTGACTCAGAAATTGTTGATATATTTCCAAATATTTCTGCATTTAGTAAGCTGAGGGAGGATTATGCAAAGATAACTTCCCCTAATTAAATTCTACCTTTCAATACAATTTAAAAAAAAAGATTCCTCATAAAGAGAAGAATGTGTGGAACATATCAATAATGAAAAATCTGCAAAGGTAATGTAATTTTTTTTCAACAACAGACTGATACCAGTTTATCCTGACTGATCTATGACGTTTATTTCAGGTTTTGTAAACCCCACAAATGTCAGAAAAAAAGGCATCTTTTTGTTCTTCATTGTTCCAGCTTCCTCTGCAGCTTGTTTCACCTTTTGATTATCAGAGTTACTGGAACCAATAGTAAACTGTAATGTAGAATTTAAATTTATAGTATAAGAATTAATCTGTTGTAATTAATTGCATTTTCATTAATTCAGCTGCAAGTTAGAGTTAGTAACACTGAGACAGCTTTTTAGAAGAACAAATAATTTTGTTTGTTTTTTAAATAAATCAGGTAAGTACAAAATCACATCTGACATCAGTAAGACATTAGAAACCATATAATTTTGTTTGGTTTTTAAATAAATCAGGTAAGTACAAAATCACATCTGACATCAGTAAGACATTAGAAACCATATTTCTAAGGGTAGCCTAATTATTTACTGGAAAATAAAGCTTCAGAGAAAAATGTAAATTGGTCTACTGTGAGGATGTTGGGTCATTCTGACTAGATGACATATTCCTCTGACTGACTTCTCACAGTGTTTGAAGTAAGTCTGTCAGGAAAATATGATCTCTCCATGTGGATCCTATTCCCATGCTTGACAACATTTAATGTGTTTGTTGTCACATCATCCTTGTGGGTAATGTTAACTCTAGTGAGACACTAAGTGGCTCACCTGAGATGACCGAGGAAAAGCGTTACACTTGACTGTTCTTTTCTAGCTTTTTCTGCCCTATGCCAGGTTCTTTTTGATTCCCCATGATAAAGCTGGGTAGATCGAAAAGGCTACTTGGGGTGCACTTAAAAAGAGGCATTCCCTGATGACCTTTTTTATTACTCCTCTTTATTCTAGGAGACAGCAAGTCATGCCCTTTGTACAGACAGCATGTTTGGACTCGGCTTAAGAAGAATTTGAGTTGCCCCCTCTAACACACAGCACAGATTGCAGGGTGAGCATCTGAGACTGCAGACAGCTGTGTGAACATGGTGATTTTGATGCAAGCGAATGTTGAATGTTTGAGTGCTTTTACACATTGGCATTATGTTGGAAATTAGATTCCAATTACCAGAGACCTGAAAAACTGCTGTTGTGCAACAGGGTCATTGTGCTTTAGGACTTCTGCAAGGGATTTGATTATTGCAGATCTTTAGGACTTGATGGTTATAGGTCTTCTGGACTTACAGCTAGTGAAGTATATCAACTAGGAGAAGCATAATTTTTTAAGAAGAAGCTTCTTAGAGAGGTGTCTTTTCAAGGCTTTACAGATAAACACTGTCCAGCTTTACTTTAGAAGTGGTATGCTTACTTTTGCATTCTACTGTCCTGGGATATTAAAACCAGAAGTAAAATTTCAGTTAGTTTCATATTGGTACACACTTATTTTAAACATGTTTGAAAGTTTCATAAAATTATTTAAAGTTTCTCACACAGTTGCTAAAACAAACCTTATTAATTATAAAAAACTTAAAGCCTTTTTCTTCCTTTGATAATACATCCTTGAGGATGATGATGCCTCACTGTTACAGTGCATCAAGCCAGGGGAAGCACGGCTGTCGTGGTTTGAGCCTGTTCGGCAGCCAACCACCACGCAGCCACTCTCGCTCCCTTCTCTTCTGGCAATAAGGCACAGAGAGCCAGGCTTGGGGTTCGAGATAGGACTGGGATGGGGAAAAATCCCCCTTTATGGGCACGAGCAGAAGGCAGACTCGTTAGGGGAAGAAAAAAAAGAACATACATTTATTACAGACACTAACAACAACACTTAACAGAGTAGGACAGTGAGAAGCATTGCCACATCTTGAGAACACCTTCCCCTCACCCCTCCCTTCTTCCCGGGCTCAGCTCTGCTCCCAATATCTCTACCTCCTCCCCCCAGTGGCACAGGGGCAGGGAATGGAGGCAGTGCAGTCAGTGCTGCCACTTCTTCTATCTTCGGTGAGGGGAGCTTCTGGAACTTGTTTCCCCTGATCCATCGTGGTCCCCCTCTCACAGGAGACAGTCCTCCACAAACTTTCTCCGATGTGAGTCCCTCCCACGGGCCGCAGTGTTCCCCACACTGCTCTGTTGTGGGTCACTAACTTTCTCTGACTGTATTCCCTCCCACAGCTGCAGCCCTTCCCGAGCTGCTCCGGCGTGGGACACCCCCACATGCTGCAATCCTCCCAGTGCTGAATTACAGCAGCGGGGCTACCTTTTCCCACAAGACCCCGGCCTTCTTTGGGCACAGCACCTTGATTAACCAGGTGGAAGCCACAGGCCATAAATCAATGTCTGCTCCACCATGGATCTTCATGGGTGGCAGGGGGGGCCGCCCTGCCGTCTCACCACAGGATACAGGGGGGTCTCTGCTCCAGCACACCTCCCCCCTCCTTTCTTCCTCCGTTCCTCCACTGACCTTGGTGTTCACGCAGCTGCAGCAACTCCTCCTCACAAGTCCGACTGCACGTCACCACGTCCCTTCTTAAATACGTTATCACAGAGGCGCAACTGATTGGCTCAGTTTTTGAGTAGAGGTGGAGCTGACTTGGAGCTGGGGGAGCTTCGAGAAGCTTCTCACAGGGGGCGGCCCCTATAGTGCCTTCCCCTGCCACCAAAAAAACCCCACCACTCACTCAAACCCAGGACAACAGGTGTTAATTACATTTTTTTGAAATAATCATTAAATAGTTTGTAGTTTACACAGAGACCATGACTTCTATGCAGTAAGTTAATTGAATTTAGTAGTAGGAAAATAGGACAATAAATCTGGATTGCAGAAATTTCTGCCAGAAATCTGTGACTGCAGTGGTTGGAAAATACATGTTCCTCTTTTCACACACTTTTCTTAGTCACTGTTCTACTTAATCTTGATAAAGGGGGGTTGGACTAGATGACCTCTAAAGGCCCCTTCCAACCCAAACCATTCTATGATTCTATATGGATATGGACAAACCTCCTGCATCATTAATACATCCCAGTTTATCAGTGCAGCATAATTCATCACTGCTTCTACAGCTTCTCTGCAGCCTCATCCTTCAACAGTGAAAGAGAAACCAGTTCTAAGGCAGCTGTCATGACAGTGCACTAATTTTTCCAGCTGTTGTGTGCTGCAGAAGTTGCTCTGCCCACTGAAACTCCACAAATTGCAGCTTTCCTTCCTAGTAGGAAAAAAAAAAAAATGACTTGTGCATCTATTACTTTTTTAGCAGTTTCCCCTCCAGGCAACAAATTTATTATTGAAAACCTTTTCACTCTTTAGCAGACTTTCAAAGCATGCTCTGTGATGTCTCAGGTAGAAGCAGTACAGGTGTTATTACTGGAGAAACAGATCCTTGCAAGGAAAACCCATCTCTAGGTGGGTTTGTAACAAGGAATGTGATACAGTCCACACAACACTTAATTTAATCACACAGAGTGATCTTTCAATTACCTCATTTCACACTCTTTTTGCAAAATAATACATCTCTTTTCACATACTGCTTGGTAGTATTAAATTGATGTCAGAAAAAAGGGGGACATTTTAATTGTCCACATTTTCCTAAAACACATAGGGTGTTACATTGTATAACACTCAAAAAAAAACCACACTGAGCTTTTCAAAAGAGGAACTTTTCAAGAGACAGGATCTTGTAATGGCTACCTGAAGTCAACTAAAGCCGGAAACATCACCATTTCCAATTCTTTGTCTGTATGCCAAGTATGCAGCTTATCTGATGCACAGTATGACTGTTCACATTTAGTCCTAAACAGGCATTCTCTGTAGTTCAAAAAATTAAACTTCTTGGCTTTTAAAAAGGAAGGACGTACAAAAGGTAGATCTCTCACAAAAGGACTGGATTTCTGTGGGAACTGAGCAAACATTTTTCCAGATTTCTATTGAGAACAGCAGTGCTATCAAGTAGCACTTTATGTCTCTTATTCAGATAATGCCTTTGTGCAGTGTTTGCTACTTTTTCACTCTTACAACAGAAGCTAGAGAATAGTATTTATCAACTGCATGTTTGTTTCTTGCTCACTTTGTGTTACCTACCCTCAATAGCTCTTGCCATATTTTGTGCATGTGCATATGAGCATAATTTGAATGAAGAAGTACAATCATCAGTTGTATTTCATTTTGGAGAAGATGAGATAAGAAATGTATCATCCTCTTAATGCAAAGTTTATACAATATTTCTTTCTTTATCACTCTTCTCCCTATGTAGACCTAGAGGGAAAATGCCCTTTTTGGGTTACTATCAGATTGTGAACTACAAGCACAAAAAAACTAGCTTGTAGGAAACATGCATTAAGTTCTTCACAGTGTCCCTAAGGTAGCAGTTTTACTGTCAGTAGGCACTGATCAGAGCAGGCAGGAACATGCTTGGGTACACTGTCGTATTAAGAATGGTCGAATCTCTCCCAAAGTCCGTGGACTTCTGGCATGGATGAACTTGGACTTGAGTGCAGGTTTGGGTCTGTATTTGGAAGGCAGCATAGACATGTACAAAACAAGCCGTGTTTATATAAAACCCAACTAAGGAGAGATATGCAAATCAGGCTTAGAGCAAAACAAGAGACCTTTATCCAATGCAAAATTAACTCATTGTATGATAATGACAAGTCATTAGTTTCCTTTCACAGATAACAGTAATCTACCCTGAAGCACAACTCTGAAGGAAAGAAAACCTTCCCAACTTCACTGCTGATACTGCATACAGGCTTGCCAGGCATGCTGGATTCAGTGACAGTAGAGAATAGCTGGGTAGTGGCTGCTATTTTATTTTGGGGGAGAAGGCAGTCTCTTCTCAGATGGAAGATAAATTGACTTATCACAGTTTATATTTCACTAAATATATTTTTAAATCACAGTCTCTGGTTTTCAAATCAGTAAGCACTGTTAAGCTACCGCTACTGAGAAGGAAAGTGCACATATCTGCAACAATTCAGTGGTGGGTTAAGCTCTTGTGTAACAGAAATCACTGATACATGTTAAGAAAAAGCTTTCCCTTTTAAAGACAAACAAGAGTAACATCCATCTTAAAATCCTACAGAATTTTCCCTTCTCTGAATTTTCACCAATTTTTGTTGCACATATTTATCATTAGAAAATGATAAATTAAAAAAAGACAATTGGATTTGTTTTGACTTCTTTGCACCTTCTGCTGCACTTTACATAGGACACATTTATGTTCTGGCTAAGCCAGTGCATGTCTGAGCCTCAATTCTGGCTAATGAGCTAGAGGAATATCCTCCTCCTGGCACGCCATCTAGTTTCCTTTGTATTTATGACTCAAAGTCTTCTCGGAGTAGAGCCAGACCTTCTGGGGGAGCCTGATCTCCCCCTGATACTGAGTGTAAATTGTGAATCTCCTGAATTCCTGCTGTGAACAACAGAGGTGCAGTGCCTTGGAACAAAGGCAGCCAGGCTGTGTTTGGACACCAGACACCAGCAGGTTAGGAGCTGAGACCCTGGTAGCCGGTCCATTCTGAGCAGGAACTGTTAACGCACTTTTGGATGGTAGTTCCATTTTCCCTTGTGTTTGGCTTTGAGACTGCAGAGAAACTCCTGAGACTACAATGCCTGATACTATTTTAAACACAGCTAAGAATCTGATAGCATTCCCCTATTACAATAAATAATTTTCTTGTATTTTTTGTGTGTAGTCTCTAATCAGTTCTAGATTCCTACTGTGTTTTGTTACTGCACTGGATGCTCACATATAGTCCCTTTATCCCTTCCTTTTAAAGCCATCTTCCTTCAAAAACAGATGAGCAGCCTATGCTTGTTTTCCTTTTTCTGAGCGTACTATTTCTTTTAGGTAGGACATATCTAAAAGTGAATATTCCAGTTGTTTTTAAATGTCCTAAAATTATCTATACAGAGTACAATATGGCTGCACTCCATATAGTGCAATAATGTTTTGGTGTCAAAAGCTCAGAATGCAACAAGACTTTATAGTGCATTATATAGAGCACTGAATACTTTTATGAAGGTAACAATTCATTCATTGCTGAGACAAGCCAGTTTTTAACTGCAGACCTGTGAGATAAAAAGAGAGGTGATCATTTTCTGGAGACACCAATACAACTGTGTAGTTTTAAATGTAAAAAAATTTAATTGATCTTTGCTAGAAGATACTGCATATTTGGTTGTTATGGGAGATTTTGGTTTTTTGAGTGGAGGTGACTGGAGTCAGGTGAAATTGGTCGTGTTAAATCATATATTTAGTGAAATATCATAGGCATAACATCAGTGTTCCTAATCACTGGATTTTACTGGTAGTATTGAACAGCTGAAGTATTAGTTTTCTCTGACTTGCATTGTATTGTTCTGCTGAGTATTGCATAAAAAAAATAAAGCTGTGATACAGTGTATAAGACATATTAAAAATGATCACTTTATTGAATGGGTGGTTTAAAAGGAGGTGTGGAGAATATATGGTCAAAACAGACGGGAAAGGCCGGAATAAGAAATGAGCTGTGTGTTTTTATAGGGGTCCTCTATTCCTAGAATTTAATGCCATTTCAATTTTGATTACTTCCACAGTGAGCTCTAATAAAGAAACAGAACTGGTACTTACGCTTATAGAGAATTTTGAAGATGCATCAGACATACAATGGCCATGAAGAACTAGTACAACAATGAAGAAACAAAATAAACTTTGTTAAACAGTGTTTTCAACAGCAGTTTGAAAAGGAGAAAGATTTTCAGCTGTCACGTGTGTATCAGTTGCCTGCTTTTTCCTTTGTCATGAGAAATAGACTTTGTAAGTATGCAGGCTTTCATCTAAGTGTCTCATTTGCTCTTGGTAGCACACTGCAAGATGATGAATATTGGTCATATGATTAGATCAGGAAGTGCAAATGTTTTAACATGGTCTATGTGATTTTTTGCTGTTATTTCTGATAATGCTTGCATCAACTCAATTTTTCAAACCATTATTCATCTTTCTTACGCCTAGTTTAATAGGAGGTTGGATGGTGACACTGGGGTCAGTTTCAGATACTTAGAAATCTGAGAGGATACTGAATACTGAATGTTGGGATACTTTTTGTTGCAGTCAACACAAAACACATTAGAAACAATGCCTTGACTATTCCTTGTGAACGTAAAAGTGCTTTATTTCAAACACTTGAATGCTACAGTTAATCCTGGCATATCTACCTAAATGCTACTGAGGACATCCTTGTAATCTGGTAATTACCAAAGCAAAGCCTTAATTTCTCTTTGTAGGTGATAATTCTGGAGTTCTAGTGGTGGTGATAAATACATTGTGAAAAACTTCAGCACAGGAGCTTTTGAAAGCTTTCATTTCTTTTAAAGAGTTAAAAAAAAAGGGCAAAAGCATGGGTTAGGTCCTTAATGGTTGTTTGGCACAGCACCTTTAATATCTTTAAGTGCTAGATGCTTTGTGTTGTAGACAGCATCTAGCAAAACCAGTGGGAAAGCTAGGGAAACCACTTCCAGGGAAAAACGTGGTTTTCTGTCTCACTATTTCTTTGCATGCCTTTCCCAATGTGTAAAGTCAGAACCTACTTCTGTTTTTTTCTCTTGCTGTACCTACCCAAACATTCATTAATTCAATGTTTTCCACATTTCCCTTCATGGTGAGAAAAGTTGGGACTTCAGAAAGTTATACCTCAGAGTAAGACTTGGGTCCTTTTTTTCCGTCTTTGCTTACACTAAATTATCTCTCTGTATAATCCAAATGTTGTTCTAGATTTTGTCTCAACTGTTTATTTTGTTGGAGCAAGCAATTCATGTACTCCTGCATGTGAAACTCTGCTCACTTACCATTATACTGAATTCAGAACAGTCTATTCAGTACTACAGTCAGCAGTTTGTCTATGGTTTTATGCCTGTAGTCTATCATCATTTGTATCTTCTCAGGGCTTACACTTCTTGCTTTCAACAAGGGATTGTTTTTTCTCTTCCCCATCCCTGAGGCTTGTCCTGACACTCTTCGGAGCTTTGTCCTTTTAACAGACTCCCTTCTGTCCCAGGTCCAAGAATGAAGACAGTACTTTTATTTTTGTACCTATTTGGTATTGTCAGTGAATTTTTTTCATTGTTTCAGTAGCTATGCTTGTGCAGACACTTCAGAATATATTGATTTCCTTAAGGAAGAAGGTAAAGCAAATCTGCCTTTGTCTCTTTAATACAGTACTTAAAGTACATGACCAGATATTGCAAGCTTATTCTCAAGGCCAGAGTCATTTATACCACCATCCCAAATAAGTTGCCCTTTCTACATTTATAGTTAGAACAGATGTAGAGATCTATCTGTTGTAGGGATTGACCCTGATCTGAACTTGCTGATGAATGAGAAATTGTAAAATGACATCCTGTCAACATCCAGAGTGGGATAAAATCCCCATGTTGAGGCAGCCCTGAGATGGGACTTTCTCTTTCACCATGGCAGGCTCTAACCCCATCCCTCACTCCCCGTACCCTCTCCAATAGCTGTTAGATTTGTCACAGCATAATTAAAGATTAATTGGGCAAAAGAGAGAGACAAAAGGAGCATGAATCTGTGGCCATGTGGTCAGAGCACTTGCTGGGGAATGACTGGAAATAATCTAAATCCTATTCATGTACTTTCTTCAGTAACTGTTCTTGAAACAGCATTGGGAATCCAATTTTTCATTTAATTTACTATTTCAAATTTTACTTTCAGTGTGAAAGTCTTATCCAGTAGGTATCAAGTCATGTTTTTCCTGTAGTGAAGACATTTTTGAGCCTTGTGGTGGGAAGCAGGAAAAGCCCCAGTGGCAGGGCAAGGTGCCAAGTCCCAGCCCTAAGGTGTTTATAGCACTGTTAGTAAGTCCAGCACCTCCGAGTACAAATTTGAAAATGAGCATTTCCTCAAAGGTCAGAAAGCACAAGACAAAGTATGAAGGCTGTCGTGGTTTGATCCTGGTCAGCAGCCAACTACCACTCAGACACTTTCTCTCCCTTCCCTAGAGGCTGTGCCCTCTTCTTCCCTCCCCACAAGGCCCGTCATGTGCCTGGTTCCTGTGTGCACCAGGCCTGGAGGGCACCAGCAGGTCCTGCCTGTCCCCCCCCGACTGCCCATGCCCCCTTTTCCACCCAGACCAGACTGTCAGTCCCTGCCTGGGCTCTCTTTTTGGTGTGCCTCTCTCAGGTCCTGCCTGCCGGGTGGAGGTTAGGCCCCCGTTGCAGCTTGTCTGCAGTCCAGCTCCTTTGGGACTGCCTGGAGGGCCATGGGGCTGCGGATGGATGGGTGTTGTGACCAGATGACTGCCTCTTCCAGGTACGTCTTTATTTCTCATTTTGAGGAGGTGGCCCACCTGAGCGGAGGGGTATTTCTGTGGCGGAGGCCATGAGGATGCAAAAGTGCGAGAGGCCAGGGAAGGGCCGCCAGTGCAGGCAGCGTGAGCAGGTGACGGGGCTGTTTGTGTGCTAGGCCCTGCTCCAATCATTACATGAGTGTTTCATCTAATGACAGATTAATTAGTAACAGACCTTGGAGCAAAGACCAGGAAAAGGCCCTTGTGAAGTTAAATCCCTTTCATGTTACTGCCAGACCCTGAAACCCAGTTACTGAACTAGTAGGGACTCTCAGTGGCAGTGGGGCGGCCTCACCAGCAAGGTGAGTGAGGGTGCTCAGGACATCCCCCTGGGTAAGGGGACGCTTTACGAGGGGACTTCAAACAGCAGCTCTTTCTGCTGCTTACAGCAGTGTCATACCTGCTGGTTGTTAACACTGGCTTCTGGGACTCACCGTGGTGCTGGTCCTTGGCTGTCCTGTACAGAGGTAGTGTTAGGGGACTGTGTCCCCTTGGGAAAGGAGCTGGTTCTTAGGAGCACCAAAAAAAACACCCCAAAACACTGAGGCACATGTGTGGATTATAGTGCAGTCTGGCTGGGAAAGCTGAGCACCTCAATCCCAGCAAAATGAACACTTGATGTACAGAACTAGCCCTTTTGAGGGAAGCCCATCAAAGGCACAGCCTGTGGCATGGCATTTGGGTGTCTCCAAGGTAAGGTGCCAGCTAAATGGTGTTTTCAGGCTGAGTAGATAATTCCTCCCTGAACACCTGTATAAAGGACCTCTCTCTTCCCTGGATCTGTCGCAGGTTCATACTAGCTGTCGCTTGATTGTTACATACCTCCTGAGGGTTACATTTTCTCTAAAGGACTCACATAATACCTTTTCAAAAAAAGTAATCTTTTATTACCGCAAGACAGGCAAGCTCTTTTGTTATTGTGAATCTCCTCAGAACTGAAGCACTTTTACAGAGTTCAGTCTTTAAATGTCCTCTTTTATCCTCATTCAGGAAAGTCTGGATTTGATAACGGTCCAGGATTTTAGTATTTCATTTTATCTAAAGAAAAAAAGTCCAAGGAGAAATATGGAAGTTTTTATTCCTTTAATTATGATTTTGTTTTCTGAAGTAGAGCAGTGAATTCTTGGTAACAACATATAACTGAATGAAGTAAAATAATCTGTAATTTTAGTGTTTCAGCTATTTTTGAAGTAAAAATACACCTGTATGTACAGTTTTGCTCACCCATTACTTTTAAGCCTCAGTAAGCACTTCCTATGTTGTACAATAGTCAGCATTTTGCCTATATTTTTATGTATGCAATTTGTCATCAGTTTGTGCTTCTTTAGGGCTTGGCAATGATTTCTTAAACAGTCTCTTCTAGTTGCAGTGTTCCTTTCAAAAATTGGTTTTCCTTCCTGAAGCTCCTTGGTAAAAGGCAGAAGAAGGTAGAGTGGCAAAAGTATTATAAATTAAAGCAGATGGCATTTCAGTTTTGGAGAATATGATGAAGCTTGCACACAATGTTAATTGTCCCATAACCCAGTGCATTTCTTGCACTATGTTGCAAATCACCTTACTTTTCCAGAAGGAAGAATTTTCACATAGTTTAAGAAGGTAACAGTAAAATAACATACAAATAAAAAGAATCATTCCAAACTGGGAAAACTTGGAGAGGTCAATAGATTGTCTAATATAAGGACTTCGTCTGGCTGATGCTTTTGAAGATGTCTAGGTCTTTACGATGACCATGTTTACAATTCTTATGCAATTCAGAGACTGTAAGTAATTCCAAGTACTGAAACATCAAAATACAGAGAAGAGTTGAACTGACTCATCTACACCCCACAAAATCACTTCCTCCGGGAACTGTCAATAACATGATTAAATAAGTTTTGACCAATACATCATGATCATTTGAGGTTAGACTTTGCTGCCGTCAGAGGTGAAATAAACTTTGTTGTGGCAAAAATTTAAATGCCTCTTCAGATCAATGGGTAATTTCAGTGGTTTTTTATAATGATCTCTAGCAGTTTCAAGACTGTTGTATTTCACCAGAGAAAACAATTTATACTTCACTTTGGAAAAGGAACAAAGTATGTGCTACTGTGACAAAGTAAATATTGCTGGTAAACTAACTACTTACCATAATCACCTGTATTTTTAGGGATGAACAAAATGGTGTTAGATCTGAGATTCCTATTTCTGGAACAGGCATCAGAGAATATTAATATAACTACAGAGGTAAAATTAGTGTCTTCAATATAAAACAGTAAACAAGCAGTATGTCCCTTGCTTGGTTTTAATTTTTTAATGCCCTTACTCGTCTCTGAACTGTCTTACCTCTTGCAGTGTTTCCTCTGCCATTTTTTCTGTCAACACATTCTTGGATTATAACTGTTTGCCATGACATGTATTTAAAACCCATTTATTTTTTATTAATTCTTTAAGATTGTGTTACTAAATTGTACGCAACATATGCTGTCAACCTTATATAAAATACAGAAACAGTTGCAGTGATAAATCTTGCATGTGCTTCAAAATTGGATAAAGTGTTTATAACCGAATTTAGGCCGCCCCACAGCATTATGAAGTGGAACAGTTATTACAACCCAGTACAGCATAGTCTGTATATACGGATGGCTGTTTGTTAACCACAAGTTGAGTTTAACACAAAACCATCTTATTTGGTTTTGCTTAAACTACAAGTGGTCATGTTTCTTCAAATACCCAGGAGTCTTTTTTCTTTTCCTCAAAACAGAAAATAACAGTGTAGTAATGATCTAATTCAGAAAAAAGAAATCTCTCATCCATATGAGAAAGTAATTTGGAAGATCTGTACATGAATTTGAAACTATGGGGGGGGGGGGGGGGGGGGATAGTTATTGTAGGTGTTTACTTCCATTAAGATATTTAACCATATTATTTTTTCAAAGATAATATACTTTACCGATGAAATGCTACCATATAAGTGGTAAGTTTAAATGAGAACATCAAGGTTAAACTATGACACCAACAAAAGAGAGTCAGAATCCCCATCTGGTCCTCCATACAGTGTCTGTAGGAGACTGCTCCCTTAACCTTAAAGCACTGACTTTGACTATAGCCAAAAAGGGTATTTGTAGCTTCTTTCTGCAACTATTCCTCCAGTGTATTTTCTGCCAGCCTGGAAACTATGCAATCACATTGTCTGTGCCTTTGTTTTACTGCATATTTCAGCTGTATGAACTTTGTGGCTTTTGAAGAAAATCTGACATTTTTTTTTTCATTTTCCTCACCCTTCCCAATACTGAAGGAAATCTATTTGCACAATGGGAGTTTAAGTCTTCTGTACAACTGCTTGCAGAGCTCGCAGCCTGGCAGACAACAGGACGAGGAACAGCACAGAGTGTAGGAAGGAAGCTGAAGGCAGCCGCAGGCAGAAGCAAGCAGGTAGTCTAGGGACACCTCCAGCCCACAGCAGAGGAGGAAGCTCTGGTTACCTCATGACACTTGTAAATAGCTGGATAGGGGAATGGGTTTCAGAACATACGCATACACTTTAGTAGGATAAATAGCTTGCCTCCAGCTATGGAGAGAGCAGCTGAGGCCAAGTACCAGAGCCTCATCTCTACAAGTAGTTATACCCCAGTTGCAGTAATTTTTTGCCATGTGCTATTACCTGTGGCAGTGATCAGCACACTGATGAGAAGACAAGGGGAATGTTTCTTGAAAGAAATGATCTAGAACTCAGCTTCTGCTATAAAAGCACAGTTGCTTAGGAAAAAACAAAATATGATGGGAAGAAACTTTTAAATTAAAACTAATCCATCCGCTTTTGTTGTCCATGTGGTTTATGTACCTAGTACATTTCCTTTCTTGTTTACCTGTTGTGTTGAACCCTCACACATCTCCCAAAGCCCTCAACCCCACCCATCTCCCACAATACCCCAAACAAAACAAAATTACAACAATCACCTTGACAAAGCTGTCCTAGAACCCAAAGAATCTGTACAGCCAGAAGACAATTTTTAGCTTTTAAAAATACTGAATATACAAGGCCTCAGCTGTCTAATTGAATAGTTCTGATTACATACAGTTAGAGGGGATACACCTTGCACAGCTTCTTTCTCACTCAGGTGTCTATTACCTGCTATGATCTCAGAGACAATTAGATATCAAAGTAGGATTTAGCAAATCCTATCACTTCAAATCCTTTCTGCATTTTTTAGTATGAAGTTATGAAGCATAAACTTACTCCTTTTCTACCAGTTATTTCTGCATGTAAATCAGAAAGTAAATGCACAGATTATTTAAAGAAAGCTGCAAAAGGCGACATGAAATGCTTTATTCTTTGGACTGACTGGGAGAAGTTTGATTCCAATACACAGTTTTTACCAGTACAAAATACTTCAGGATAACCTGGGTAAATTGTCTGAAAATTAAAGCTGAATATTGCAACAAAGAATGAATACAAGTCTCCACATTCATTTCTTCCTGAAGAATTAGAAATGCTACATTACTTTCTTAAAATATAATGTGGCCATAGGACAATACATAATTTTAAAATGTGAAAGAGTTTAATGGGCCATATGCTACTTGAGGAAATGAGTTTCTCAACTTGTGATCAGATGTGTGAATGGAGAGTAACTATGCCTTTTTCTCCCCTGCAATATTATTTTCTGAATGATATGCCTCACAGGCAGTGTTTAAAATAATTTATTGGAGAGTATTGCCACCCTTCCCAGGGTAGGAGGACAGAATTGAGGGATGGTCTTAACAAGGATTGCTTCTCTGGATCACACAGTAGGGAGTCTCACCTCATCAAAAATGCTGGTGTCTATTTAGGTAGAACAATCAGACTATCTGGAAAATGTTTTTGAGACTGATTTACATTATCATGGTGAGCATTCCTTCCTGGTTACTCTGTGTCCTTACTCATTTGGCAGCCTCCCCCTCTCCAGATCCAAGCTATCCTTGTCACCTCTGCAGTAAAGAAGTCACTGAGATTATTGCATCATGTTATTTGACCTTCTGATTTCTAAAACTCTACTTTGTGATGAGTTATTGTGTCCTTCTCATCAAGTGTTTCATGCAGTACAGCCCAACGGGCATTTTTTTAGGACCCCTAATGTGAAGTGACATATTCTGTACTTCAGTAGGAAGTTTATGTTTTAGACTGTAAGATTTGTGTTATTGCCTGTGCAAGGGGTAAGTAGACTACTTGACTGTAATCGGTGTATTCGAGATCAAATTTGGACTTGGGAAACTTCTAAGAATAGCTATAACCTATCAGTGGGGTTTGCTGTGGTCCTGTCCCCTCTCTTGAATCAGCATGTTACTTAACGTACAGTTTTGTAATAAGCCACTTCAAGAGATGATCTTGTTGAAAATTGCTTTTTATGTATACCTGATTTTTGGTTTCAATCCCTGCACCAGCTCACTGGGTGTTTGCACAAGCTTCAGTGCTGGTCTAGCAGAGGGACTCAAGACATGCAGCTGAAGGCAGAAGGTAAGTGGACTGTGGAAGCTTGAACTTTCATCAGAAATTTCATGTGAAATTTCATCATTGTTTTGGGGGAGGTAAAGGGGAGGGGAATGAAGGAACTACCTTATAGAGTATGTTGCAGTGACTGTTATTTACATTCACGTATAAATTCATACTCCATGTTTAGTCTGGTTTGTTTTGTGTTTGTTTTTTTTTTTTTTTTTTTTTTTAATCACTTTATCCTCTTTTGTGTTTGTTTCCCTTCTTGTATGTATGCTTAAAAATCTTCTGTTTTACAGCCATTTTCATTGATCACATTTTGTCCATTTGAGAAACATGGCCCTGGAGAACACTAACAACTATGTCAATCAAATGTTTTTGTGAGAGTTAAGGATTTCCAAGCTCCAGCAGTGCACAAATTATACCTCATTTTCCTGGACATGTCTCTTACTTATTTCTTCTTTCTTTTTAGGAGAGTATCAAGAGTGATATATGAACAATAGCTCTTTTTATCAAGTAAAAAATGCCTTCTAAGGGAGATCTTGAATTACTTATTCTGACTAGTTATATTGATCTTTTTTTTTTTTTTTTTTTTCCCCCAGCGGAAAATAAGCTTCTCCTTCATTGAGTAAATGTGGCTAGTGCATTTACTCCAGACAGGGGAAAGCTGAACTGAGTTCCTTCCTCTTCGGGAGACAGACATTAAGCTTCTAAACAGAGTACCATAAATACCCAGCCCTCAGGTGAGCGCTCTTGCTCTGCAATTGTAAAACTGTTTGTCTAAATGAAAAGTACGTTGTGCAAGGGCCTGGAATCCTCACGAGTGAATGTTCAAATAATGGAGCTGAGAGTTCATTACTTCTCTGTTTCCATCAAGGCAGAAACAAAACCAAAGCTGGCTTCTGCCAAGTATTCCAGCTAGGGTCTGGGGCAATTTTCTAGAGTTGGGTGCTATTGTTGAAGCTGTTTTACCTTCTATAAAATACTTCAATAAATGTCAAGAGTCCAAGACATGACATCAACATGAGGCCTCCTCAGGCCTTGTAAGCTACAGAAGAAAAAGATGTTTCTTCATAGTGCAGTTTTTGTCAAAAAAAACCCTTTTTGTTTCAGTCTGGAAAGATCAGTTTTGTGGTAAATAGACCAGAAGTTCTGTATCTCCTATTTCAATCACAAAAAGAGAAGACAAAAACAAGTTTAGCTTGATACAACCCCAATATGATTTTCCTTTTTCTTTGATTCAACAGCAGAAGTCCCAGTTGAAAGGACCCCAGAATGCTGAAAGACCTTCACCCTGGCACTTTTACAAATGTATGTATCCCACCTTCAGTATTTAAACACTTCTGTGTGAACAGCTATCAAGTACTTACTGTATTGCTTGAAAACTGCTCACTCTAATGTTTTTAATAATTTATAGTACTTTATATATGATATGTGTTGAAATTATATTACATAATATTGTGTCTTTCTTGACCATGTAAACAAATTAAAATAATTTTATGGCTCAAATGTAAATACTAATACTGGTACCAGAATTATCATAGCTGCATATTGACATCACCCAATAAAACAATCCTGCTGAATATTTTTTAAAACAAGCAGGTATAAGGGGTGGGACTATAGCCAAATTGTAAGGGAATTGTAAATGTCTCCATGAATTATTTTTCCTACTATTTACACAGCTCTGCTCTAGTGACTGAGTTTACTGAAATGCATAAATCAGTGCTGAGTATTTTAGGAGTCTATCCAGCTGTATTCCTCTTTTAGCATTCTCTTGTCAGTATGAAATATTGTGCCAAGAGCCATATCTTTGTAGTTTACAGAATTTAGATAATTATGTAGGAAGATGAAATATTAATTTAATGAGAAAATAGAAATAGGGTTTATAGTACAGAACTGTCCATAGCTGCATTAAAAAAATCAAGACACAAGAGCTAAAATAAATCTCCTTATGTAACATTTTACCACTGTTTTACACACCAAAACCTCACAGAGCATCTCTATAAAACTGAAATAGCTTAAAGACGAGGGACATATTAATAATTGATTTCAGGGAATGGCAAATGTATAAAGAAAAGTTTGCTGAAGCATTACCAACTGATTATTTTACAGGAAATCTCTTTTCAACCTTGTAATATTTTTAAAGATTTATGGGTTAGCCTTATGGTTTTCAACATTTTGAAAGAAAAAAAGGAAAGCATCAAATGTAAAATGATATATAAAACCATAAAATGACTGAAGTTTACATCAAGAAATCAATAGTAATGACCTAGTTTCAATTGTGGCTGTTTTTGTATACAATTCACACAGAGCAAGAATAGTTGTGTAATGGAGTTAGTCTGTTTATACAAGTATACACTTTTATGTTGTGAATGTTAGAAGAACTTGGTCTCATACTACACAAGCTTTAGTATAAACACACTGTAAGCCTTGTAAAAAAACCCTATCTGTCACAGACAGCTCATCTACATTTTGTAATATATTTGATAGGTGTTTATTGGTGTTAGATGAGACAAAATAATACAAAGTTCAACCAAAACAGATGGGGCTGCAACAGGCCTTATAAAATGGGTTACTTCACTGCTGGCAGCCTAGATCTCATTTCAGAGAAAAATCAAAGCAGAACTGAGGAAGAAGAAGAAAGATAAAAGGTCACAATAGGTGATCTGAAAAACACACTTAATCCAAAATCTTTTTTGTGTGTGTTTTTCCTCATTAATTTTGTGTGTTTGAAGTGATATGGCACTCCTCTGGGCATAAGGCAGAGGAATTGCTTACAAGAGGGTATCTTTATTTAATCTTAGGATATAGACTTGATCTTATTGCACGTTTCGTGTATCCCCTTCCTCGATTCCCTGCCACATTGTAGATTTACCTCAGACAGATCTTTTTGTTGTAAATATTGCACACTTTCTTTTCCATTTGGTATAAATGTCCCCGAGGGGTGTCAAGTTTTGTTTCATTGACACTTCTTCTGTTTCACCCATTTCCTATCTTGTGGACTGCCAGCAGTCTCACCACTGGACATCTAAAGCCAGTCATCTACTGAAAGGCCTTCTGAAGTTAGCACACCATTTTAAAAGGAAATACATCTACTTGGTATGTGGTAAGCATGATTTTGTACAAAGTGCAGCATATACATGAAAGGGAGTGAATTTGTTTCTCCAAGTACTTCGGTGTTTTTGATTTGTAATTCCACAGACTTTTTGCCTAAGATTTTTTTTAAATTGTTCCAGTCTGCTTGGGATATAGCAGAGACTGCAGATTTACTAGTTTAGGTTATGCTGCTATTTAGCTTAACAGTGACTTCTGTATTCTGGGTACTGTTGGCTCACACTGCACTTCAGTGTTAATGTAACAGGGAAACCAGGGAATGGGTTGACTTGGAGTAATCATGAACATGGCTTGCAAGGAAACTAGCTGGGTAACTACCAAAAGATACGGTCATTGGGATGAATACTGTACATGTTTTGGATGTGTTTCCTAGCAGCTAAAAAAAGAAGCAAAAACCCACACAAGGTACTCCCTTGTATGAGTTTAATGTTACATACAATGTCTTACCTATTATTTATAAAGAAAAAATCTACTCTGGCTCCTGCCAGGCTACACAACTATTTTACCAGATGAGAAACAACCATAAAGGATGGCCTATAAACAGTTAAAAAGCCAAACCCCTTTTCTTAGCCATAGGGGCACTGGACAGGAGACTGTGGGAAAAGTGGCTAAGGAAGACACCAGAATGGAGTCTGAAAGTTAGGCTGTTATATGCAAGTTTGGGATGCTTTTGGTGAGTTGGATGAGACAGTTGCATACGCTTATTAATTATTGTAAATGTGACTTTCTTTTATGTTTAGTTCCTTAAGATTAAAGAGTGCCTTGGCTTGAGAAGACTGACTGAACATTGCATTAACCCCTGGTTCCAATCTTCTGAAGAGAAAAAATGCGGGCACCCAAATCTAATTACACCTGAGGTTAAACACAGTCAGTTGTGCTGCAATAGCTGAGCAAACACTAAATGAGCTTGCCTGGGTACAGGAAGCAATGTAGTTGCAGCATCATGAAACTCTGCATGTGCTAATTTTCCCTCCTTTTCAACTTCTCATTTAGTTTGGTCAGAGATCAAACAGTACCCCACAGCTTGCAGTATAAGTAAGAAGAGTCCTCAGTTTCTAGGGGCTAATCTTGCAAGGTGCTGAGTGCTTCCCACCATATCAATTTCTGCTAAACTGAGAGTCCTTGACAGTTCCTTTTAATTTGGGGTTACAAATTCTTAGTTAAAATCAGGCACCTGTTGGCTGCAGTGGAGGTTGTTATAGCAGGAGATGATCAGTACCTGGTAACAGATGGTGACATGGTGAATCGTATTTACTGTTGCAGAAAATGGACTAAATGGAGTGTTTTTAGCAAAGTAAGTATTTTACAGTTTGAGTACTTTCTGGCATGACTCTGCAATTAAGAAATTGCAGTCTGGATATAGGCTACAAAGTAGTTTTGTTTTAATGCTTCTTAACCATGTATTTGCTCAGCAGTTGAGAAATTTGACAGTAGTAAGTTCATCTGCAGTAAATGACAGCAGTAATACTACAGATTTCAGAAATAGCCTGTACCCACGAGCCATTCACTAAACATTAGAGGAAGCAGTGCTTACTGTGCTGTCTGTGGCTGTAAATGCAGCTATTCCATGAGCATATCCAAGCCATCCAGGTTCCCTGCTGCTGTGAATAGGAGCAGTAAAGCTCTTGGGAAGGGGATTTAGAATACTTGTAAAGGGAGCATAGCCCATGGCCAGGTAAAGAATGGAGCTGAAATTCTGCCTCTCCCCATCCCCCCCCAGCTTAGATGCTTATCTGCACTCATGAGATAGTCGTCTGGGACTGATTGGGAAGCCATTTGTTATGCTTAGGCAGGATGGTGTACCTTCAGCACTCATCCCTGCTTGACCTTAGGGCACAGCTGGTAAGGGACAGTTAGCGTCAACATAATGTCAGCCTATGAGTATACACTTGCAACTCTCAACTTCTAGAGAAATATTCTAGCTACTGGGATGCAGAGTAATCAAGATGGATACCCCATTACTTGCCTTACTGAGCATTGGCACTTTCCAGCCAGAAATGTCCACAATTAATGGGAATAACAAGTATGCTGGCAAGCAGCAACTCACTTCAGGAGCTGGGAGGGAACAGGGTTCCCTTCTGGATTTGTTTTTGACAGACATCACATGGATAAAAGCTTTAGAAATATTCCTGCTTACCTCTCTTATAAAACTCCTGCCGCTGTAGAAAAAGTTCCATTTTAGCCCTCTTCCTTGAGATGCTCATGAAGTGAGCTGCCAAGAGTGAAGTGGAAAAGGGAAATGGAATGGATAGGATAGACAGAAGTAAGAGTTGAAAAGAGGGAATAATGAGATGCACTGGAAGAAAAAATAAGGTCTTAATGGTGTAAGAGTTATTGAGGAAAGCAAAAACAAATAGGATAAATGAAGCTAACAGGCAGAGACTGAAAGATGAGATGACATTAGTGAGGGAGGAAAAAAAAAACAAATTAAAACCATCATTTGAAAGTGTAATGTTAAGAGTTACAATAAATTGTGTTGTCATTTGGAACTCTGATGGCATGATTTATTGAGCATTGCCAGGGGCATTTATTATGCCAGTAACCATAGGCATAGCTGTTGTGGGCCTCAGTGACATCTGGAAGGAGGAGTACTTGGTCTTTGATGGAAAGTTAGAGGTCACTGTCATAGCAATCCACACGTCTGTGTGTAGCACCTGCACATCCTTTTGTCTTGTTTGAAGTGACTATTGCTGCTGTTTAATATATTTAAAAAAAAAAAAAAAAAAAAGAAAAAAGCACCAAACATTTGCTTTGGAAATTTCAACACTGAATTGAAAAAAATTAGCCTAGCCTTGGTCCTCTGGCACAAACTTCAATGCTTTTATCTTTTTTTTATCCATTGCTATTAAAAAAACCCAAATAAAATATGTAATGTTAAAATGTTAGCTGAAGTTTTTTTCACCCTGTAGGCTAGATGAGAAAGGTTAAAATAGTTTTTAAAAACACATGGAAGATTGGACAGGTGATGGTTTAAGATACTGTTTCATATAGTAATCTAAGTCATTAAGTTTATATCACGCAAAAATATTTTAAGTTTTTATTAAGAATTAAGCAGTATTTTAAGTCATGTTACTGATGCCATTTTAACTGTCATTCTTCTTTAAAAAGCAAAGGCTTTTTATCAATGGACCAGTGCTAACCCACTCCAAAAATCAGTTAAGATGCTCTACTCACAGTGAAATTCAATCTTAACTCAT